CTCTCTCTCTCTCCCTCCCCCCTCTCTCTCTCTCCCTCACTCCCCCCTCGCTCCATCTGTCTGTCTCTGTCTCTCCCGCTCCATCTGTCTCACACCGACCAGGCATTGTGGGTCACGGTGCAGCGCGGGGCACTAATACGCGATTCGGATCAGGACCCCGCCAAGGCGGCGCGGCGCGCGCGAGCGCGTACCGTACCGCTCTATCATCGAATTTCCCAACAGAGCGCGGCGGAGTCGCTGGCGCTCTACGCGCTCTGCAGAGACAATAGATCTATCGCCGCGAGCCGGGTCTGCGGTCTCGAACACCTCGAGGCTGGCTGGGCTATGATGATGAGCGTGCTCCAAAGCCAGAGAGACATGGTGAAATAAAAAATTCGCGTCATTCGCTCGACCCGCCCTTCGCCCGTGCTCTGCTAGGCCTCTGGGCTCTCGGCGAGAGGTCTTAGTTGGTGATCGCTATCCCAGCTGTCCCCGTCGTCGTCAGTCTACGTCGGCAATGTGGACTGCTCGTGGTAGAGCCCCCCCCCCCCCCCCCCCCCCCCTCTCTCTCTCTCTCTCTCTCTCTCTCTCTCTCTCCCCCCCTCCCACGCTGCCCGCCCCAAAAGCTGAGCTGAGCAGCGCGGCTCCGCCCCGCAGACCTCATTTGAGCCCCGGTTGCAAAAATCCCCTATCTGCCCTGCTCTGCCACCGAGTCTGCCGCGGCCTGCGGGTCGGGTCGGGTCGGGCACGCTGTTGAACCTCTCTTCTCCTCTCCCCTGAGGGCACTCATGGTGCGGTTTCTTTGCGCGGCTTTAGTTTTCGCCATAAATTGCTCATCTTTTGCTTTGGCTGAGCCGCGGTGTCGCGGTCGATGAAGTGCGCCCGTGTCGTGTAGTACCCCCCCCCCCTCGTCCCCTCCCGCTTTCTGCCATGCTCCCCTCCCCCTTCGGTCTGCTGGACGTGTCCGGCAGGCCATCGCACCTGCAAAACACCGCACCTGGGCCTGGGCGCGACGTGTACCGGTAGAGATACCCGGAGGTACCCGGAGGTGGCCGGGCCGCAAGCGCGGAGTGACAGGACAGGAAGGTGCTGCCTGGCCAGAGGAGGCCGACCCACTCCGGGGGGTCCGCACACACCAGGATCCTTTCCCTCGCCCTCTGCATATGTCACTTGTCCTGCGAGTCCAGTCTGCGCGGCGGGACATTGCAGGGGAAGAGCACATAGGCACACGAGATAGAGAAAGGCCACGACGTCTGCGCGGGTGCAGAGCGGCTGCTGCATCAGGCTGTCGCGAGGCCTCGTTTTCCGCGCCGTCGAGAAAAAAAAAACACTTTATCAGTCATCTGAAGTATACGAATCTGACGGACACTTACATCTGTGTGCAATCGATTGTTGGACGGGCCGCGGAATCTACGACGGAGGGTCTCATCATATAGTTGTTCGGCGTTTACCGTCTCTGGACAAAAGTGTAGAAGTGTAAAGTGGCAAAGTGCGAGACTTGTGATTGTGGAGCGGGCCGCGCCGCACCGCCACGGCTGACCCTGACCTAAGACACGCTCACCTCAACCGCATTCATAACTAACTTGTCTCTCTCTCCCGTGTTGCAGATCCGACCGCGGCGCCGCGGCTCCTGCTGAGCCCGCCAAGTCTTCGGAGCAGGGGGGGTTGCAGAGCCCCACTCCCCGTCCCCGATGGATCCCTGAGCCTGAGCTGTCACAGGTCAGTTGCACCACAGTTAAGGGGTTCGCAAGTCTGAACGACACTCCGATTTAGGGATATTCAGAGCACCGTTTTTTCACACTGCACCGTGTGTCAGAGCTAGACACCGCAACGTGGTCGGGGTAGGCAAACCTGCAACACATCGGTGTCGTTTACCGTACCCCCTGTCCTATGGCGACGAGCGAACGGGCAAGCCACACGCCTGAATGCAATCCCCACTCGCTGCGCGGTACCCTGCCCCCTTTCGGGTAGGTACCACAGTAGATAGCTGGTGACCTTATCAACCCCCGGCGCATGGTACCTGCAGGTGCGTGGGTGTGGGGTGGGTGGGACATCCGCCGTGCGAACCAGTCTCCGAATCGGCACGGCCGTTGTGTCTTAAAAAGCTAGAGAGAGAGAGAGAGAGAGATGGGTAGGACGGAGAGGAAGACAGGGAGACACGCTGCTGGCGACACTTCGGACACGGCCCGGTGTGGGGGCTCCGAGGTAGGTGACCGGCTCGTGAGGCGTCGCGGCGCACACCGGAACTCATGGGTGATAGAGGACTCTGTCGCCTGTCACTCTGACCGCCTTTGGCGATAGCGTAAGCGTAACAACCTGAGGAGGAGAGGTGCACCGAGAGGTACGCTGGAGAAACAAAGGTGCTTTTAAATGCCTTTTTAGAGGCGTTGGTGAAATGGTGCCTTTACAGAGGCGCTACTCCCACTGGACCCTAAAGGTGCTATTTTCTTAGCAGATTTAGTGTCTTTACAGGGGTATTTGTACAGTAGCGCGTTTGAAAGATGTTATATAGCACCCCTTTTTCTGACGTAGGGGTAAGGAAGAGAAGGAGCGCCTGTATGGGTCGTGTTTTGAATGAAAGTTTTAAGGGATTCGCTTCAGCTTATGCAAGCTCTCATGGCGCCTTGTACGTAGGCAACATCTTGCCTGCAGTGCATGAGTGTGCTGCGGGGTGGCCTACCCCGAGTCTCGCAGGCGCGGAGCTTCGTAATTTGTCGAACGAGTCTGAGAAAAACTAGTACCTTATCGACGCTCCCAAAGTGTGCTAGTCCAGAAAGCGGCCGTGCCCCCTTCCCTCCTCCACGTCTTGGTTCTACCCGATACCCTAGCGCCGCTCAGTGTGACGCCCTCTCCGAATCAACCCATTGGAATCTACATTTCATGCTATTGTCCTCTTCCTTCCTAGAAATGAAGTCCTTGGAACGAGTGTCGTCAGCGTCGGCCGGCGAGGCGGCGGCGTTCTGGCTTGAAGACGACGTCGACGACGAGGAGGTCGACGTGGACGTGGAGGACCGCGACCAAGATCACGACGTGGAAGATATGCTGTTGGGATCCGAGGACTCGACGTCCACCTCCAGCCTCGCCGGCCACCACGGACGAGGCGGCAAGCAGGGCCACAGCAAGGCTCGGAGCGCAGGTAAGGGGCGGTTGGGGAATACAGACCTTGGAGGTGTTTTTTTCTTCTTTTTTTGCACTTGAGGATAGGTGACTGTGTGGCATGTATTCATTATTATAGCACCATATTCGATCATTGCTCTTTTTCAGACGGTTCCGAGAGCTCGGGTAGCGAGCGCAGCGAGCGCTGCAGTGAGCGTGGGTCCGAGCGCGGGCCGAGCGCGGGTGAGCGGCTGAGCGAGCGCAGCGCAGTGGAGCGGACCGCCATGGCCCAGCTACCGCCCATGCAGCCGCGGCCCAAGCGCAAGCTGAGCTGCTCGTCGGCCACCAGCCACGCGGGGGCGCACCCCCTACGGCGGCGCAAGTCGGGCATCTCGGCGCGGGAGAGGAACCTGAGGCGGCTGGAGAGCAACGAGAGGGAGCGCATGAGGATGCACTCCCTAAACGACGCGTTCGAGGTGAGACCGCGGGTGGCAAACGTGGTGTAGCGTAGCGGGTCGGGGACTTCCCTTCTGGGGTGTAACATTGCAACTATTTGGACTCCCTGGTTTTTGCAGCAACTACGAGAGGTGATACCGCACGTTAAGATGGAGCGCAAACTGTCAAAAATAGAGACGCTTACACTGGCCAAAAATTACATCATGGCATTAACAAATGTCATATGTGAAATGAGGGGTGAAGAAAAGCCATACACGTGAGTGACGACGTTTTCTCTTTCATGACCAATTTCATCTTGAGTTTTTGTTATTTATTTATTCTTTTGTTGCCAAAACAGGTTCCTGGATGTAGATTGTGAAACAAATGGAAGTGGAAGTGGCAACGAGCAGGGCCCTGAAACAGATGATTTGGAACCAAACAACAATAGTTTGTTCCAGGAAAATTTACAGCTTGGGAATCCGAGTGGAATCACATCTGATGCCTGAGGCTTAATAGTGAGCTTAATTTCTCGAACTCACTATCCTCCATTGAAGAAACGTGCTCGAAGTTCCTTGTGTCCTTAACTGAACTGCATAGACTCCTGTGGTTAGAAAGTCTGGCCCTATTTTCGAGACATGTATGTGACCAAGATTTGGAACAGGTGTTCAGCATTCCAGTGGATTCTTTGGTGTTGTGCTTCACTCGGCCCTCAGAGAGGGCCCGAAGAGATGGACCTACTGACGTGGAAAAGTTTTGAAGAATGGCAAAGTTACTACCAGAGTAATGTTGAGCAAATATTTTAACTTGTACTGGTGGTATTGCAAGTACAGATCATGAAAAAGACAACTAAGTTTTTAAGCATTTACAACAAGATTGTTGAGTAGATTTCAAGCCAGATAGTTATCTGGAAGTAAAGACATTGAGTGAAACTGTTAAAAGTATGTTGATGTATTTTTATTACAAACCTTTGTGTTTGGGGTTTGATGTAGAATTTTATGTAGGGACTGATAAATGAGTTGTGGTTAATTTCTGGAGACTTACCTTTATAATTTCTTCAATAGATTGTAGTGAGCATGCATTATATTCTTGCCGTTAATTTTAAATGAACTGAAAGGCATAATGATTAGGAACTTGTGTCATACCTCATATTCAGACTTGCTGGTCACCAGATATATAACCATGACACATTAGTTGTTACAAAATGATATTATTTACGAGTTGTGAACGCTGTGTGGAGAAAATATATACAAATACATTCCATGAATGTGTGAATGGGAGTATGTTTGAGTGTAAAGTGCAAGAATGTGTGTAGATGAGTGAATGTGAGTGTGTGCCTCTGTTATAGATAAAATTGAATGTAGAATGTTACATTTTCTATCTCAAGCTTGTAGGTGATGCAAAAGAATTTGCACACTCATCTCAAATAGAAAAGACAATTATAGTATTCCATGTGTACAAAAGTAATTTTACAATCACAAGCAGGAAAGTACCTTTCATGAAGAATGTTTGAGATCTTGATTGTCATCATATTCATGGAGTGACAATTTTTACCTCAGAGAATTTGTCAACTGAATTGAGTTTCCTCAGTTTCCCCAGTTACTACATTTTTCAATAAAATGTTCAACAATGTTATTTTTAAAAATTTTATCAAAAGTTTATTTCTGTTCTGCTGTTTTACTCTGCTTTTCTAGAAATTTTATCTTTTTGATAGTCCAAAGGTTTGGAAAATCTAGACAGATATTCTTGCCAGGTCAAAATCTTTCAAGTTGGTTTTTCCTTCAAATGATGCTCTCTAGGAGAAAAATCTCACTTTGGTCTGCTTTTAAGTTACCTTAAACCTTGCCATATAAGGAGAGGCCAAATGAGAAGCAACTTAATAACCATAAAAAAAATTGAAGAATAAACAATTAGTCAACTGAAGCCCAAAGAGGTAACATTACTAACTTCCTGAATGAAAAATGCCAGAAAATACACAGCCTTTGTTCAGATATCCAGAGGCAGTTCCTCAGTGCTCATTGCTCATGAAGCTGACTTCCTTAATTTTATGTTCATGTGCTTAAAGAGAAAGGAAGATAACCTTGGCCCCCATGTAAATTATTCTGTAGATAGCCACACTGTACATAATGCCTATCAGTCTCTTTCCTTTTTTATGTTTAAAATTGCTGGTGGTGGTTTCAGAAGATGAAAAAAATGATGAAAGTGAAAAAATAGATGTCATTTCTATTCTATTCTAGATGAAGTACACCTTTAAACCTAATATACATTTTGCTTTCTGTAATGTGGACATCTTAAAGCGATTCTTCTGAATGCCAAATATTGTGTGCCAAGAACCTGAGGACAACATAAAACTAAATTTTGAGGCCAAAATTCTAAACATGTTAGAGAGAAATAAAGAGAGAACTTAGATAATTTAATAATGGGCAAGTATTACTATTTGTAAAAGAGAGAATAAGTAAACATTGTACCCTACTGTTCAGGAGCAGATGGAAAATAGAAATATGAACAGAAATGCAAAGAAGAAAAGCTTCATTTTTGTCTACAGCAATCAATGTGAGAGATATGAAAAAGAAAGTACAAATGCAAGACAGCTGTTTCAGTGCTCACTTCAATAGTCATTGAAAAACATGAGATTAACGTAAATGGCGCAGCCAACTTGCAAAAAATTAAGTTTGAAACAAAAATATTCCAAATACAAATGTTGACCTAAAGTAAAATTTAATCATTTGGAAATTTTTGAAGTGGATTATTGAATTATAACTGGTTGAAGTGATAATTGTTCTTAAGAAAAGGAAATGTGCCTTCCTCACATTATTTTAGATGTAGATATTTTACAAATTTTTCTGGGTACAGCTCACATATTGCTCTAATACAAGGACCATGTTTATTTTAATTATTGGCAGTGCCCAATGTTTAAAGTCATTTGAAGAGTATCTCTAAAAAAAGCTAGCACAAGGAGCAAAAACTAAAAAGAAAAGCATTTGCTCATTTGAAGGGGAGAGTCACGGTTGCACCACATGTAAAAAATGTGTACAGGTTAAACATTAACAATTTTATCCATGCCAAGCTGTTGAGGCAAATTGACACAGGCTGAATATGTGATTATGATGTTATGTTTACAGCAATTAAATGTTGCATGGGTTTTGAAGCCCAATTTTTTTTTGATATGGCTGGGTTTTTTTTAAAAAAAAAACAACATTCTTATACTCCTGTTATTCCAACTAGCACAGAACTGAAATACGTAAGTCATTTAGCCCCAAACTTCACTCTCTGCAAACTCCTTAGGTGCAAGACTCTGATTTTCTGTGCTGGTGTGATCACTACTGCCTGAAACACACAATTAATTTTCTTTTATTAATCACAATGTCTAGGTAAATGTAATCCTAAAAGATCATGAACGATCCATAAAAAATATGGGTTAGACAAAGGACGACACAAACCTATATTGTCCACTTCGGTCTCCTCAGGAATCGGGTCAATGCTGCGCTTTGGTCTGAAAACCCCAAAGAAAATGTATTAGTTCATAGTAGGGCCCAAGAAAAAAAACCTTTCAGTTGATAGGGCACTATAAAGAACATGAAAAGTTCCAACATTCAGTCTGGCTTTAGATAAAAGGTTGGAAAACAAACATTCCTTCCCCTAGCATCACAATGTATACATTCAAAAGCATTAAGATTAGATTATAAAGAAATAAAATTTTATATCTTGTGTTAGTTTAGTAACAAGATGTAACACTATACTGTAAGATACGCGCTGTGGTCCACTAACGCAGCTCATGTCTTTGAGTTGATAACCCACTGAACTACAGAAGAGCACACAACAGATAAAGACAATGAACATAGTAGTTAAATTAACACCAGCATGTAGAGAGGTTCAGAAGTTTCTCAAATAGGATCTATTAGGAGACATCTCTACGCAGTGAGATTAGATAAATAGCGTTTACTACTTGTGATAGATACAAACTCCATCAAAGCAGAAGAGAATCTAAAACAGGCTACTAGAAGAAAACTAAAATGATAATAAAGAACTTTTCCCTATAAACTTGTGGCTGCGACACTCGTACCTACTAAATTACAAAATTAAATTCACTTTATGAGAAAACATGTTTAGTGCACCTTTTCTTAAAAATATGACCTTATTAAAATAGAAAACATGCATTGTCTTTGACTTATTAAACTATTTAAAAGATCAACAGATATTAGAATAATAAACTATCAATAGAAAATGTATATAAGAGCAAAATATGATAAAACAGATAGATAAATTATTTCACAGCCATTTGTATTTAGTGGGGAATGCCCTTACTGTTCGACTTAACAGATAATTCCTCAACAGCTGCCCACAAATTATCTTGTTGGAGTACGACAGGCAAATGGTACGAAGCCCATGCCCACGTACCATCACATTCGTTGTTGGAGAGTCTGATAATATCTACCAACAGTAATTACTGTCATACTAATTCCACTTCTCATTGTCGTTAGAAGAAATAAAAAGCTACACATAAAAGTCCACAAGCGCTACTGTAAACAGCAGTAAAAAAAGAAAAAAAATTTCTGAGGAAAACAGTTATTTAACATAGGCAATGAAACATTTGGAATATTAAAATGAGTCCATATCACCCACTGATAACTCATTATACCACAAAAATTTCCAATGAACCAAAATTTGAAAAAGTAAACATCACCAGGAAAGTCTGCAATTTACCAGTTTTTGCCATACTCACAGTTATTATATCAGAGTTCCATTTTCAGTTAAAAATATAAAATTGAAAGGAAAACTTGGTAAAAAATAAAATTATCATTTATCACAATAAAACGCATCACCGTTTTCCGACCCCAAACCTTTCCAACCAAATTACAAAGTAAATGGCTGACATGAGCACTAAGCCTAACAGCATCTTGATGGTGATAGTGAGGGCTTCAGAGGCAAAGTTTTGAACAGGACGCCGGAGCCAATCCAAGTAGTAGCGGTTCATGATGATGCCCAGGAGGTATTGAGTGCTCAACAGCTCAGCTGGCACATACCGTCTGTCAACAATCAGGACCACCACGCTAGTGAGCACACAATGAACTGTCACAAAATGAAAGATATTTATTGTGACTTCTACTATATGAATAGGAGCCACATCAAGTGATGAGTAATAAAAGACAATTTTAGGTAACACTGTCAAGAAAGTCCTCTCTAATGCCTCTTTTAATTCGAAAATCAGGAATCAAGAGTTGAAATCTGGAAACTCTGATATAATTTGTAACTGCCAAACTTTCATTACATAGAAAGAAAGCTAAGTCCACAGTACCAGTAAAAGGAATTTCAAAGAAAATCTAAAGCATAAAGCCTTCTGATGAAAAAAAGATAGTTTGAGAACTATTAGATAAATATAGTAGAAAAGTCACCCAGTCTGTACTACGAAAATCGTTTTGTAAAAAGAAAAACTACTCACTGGTCAAGACTGCGGTGCTTTTTAAATACATCGGGTGATGCTGAGGCACCATCAGTGGAATCCCTTAATTTCCGTTTCCTTACAAGGTCCAGGCTAGGAGATGCAGGTTGAGCCAGAGGAGGAGATTTCCTGAAATAATAAAAGTTCTCTTTTACTCTTTCTGTTTTCTTTAAGCAAATCGGAAGAAAGCTTTTCCGAGCTTAGTCCGGCCCGATCACTCCCCTTAGGCCTCTGGATCCTTTGGTTATCCCCCACCCCCAAAACAAAACAAAAAAACAAAACAAAAAAAACAAAACAAAACAAAAAACAGGTCTTTTTGGACTGGCAAATGAGAGCAGAGAGAACTCTGGATGAGAGGGTGAGAGGGTCCTCATTGGCACGGACTGGGTTGTTTGTCACAACCCAACACTGTCGCAATTGACTTGCTATCCCCAATTTTGCATATATAGAGAGGGACGGCCCCTTTTGGCCAAGGGTGGGCACATAGGGTAGTTGGGTCACTCACCAACCCCTGGGTAAAACAACCAAAACCCCAGAGGCCGTTTTCAAGGGGTAAAATGTGAAAGACTAAGAAAAGGTGACAGAAACAACTTCCTGATAAGAAGGGTACAGAGCAGAGGTGGATGTTATTAAATACCTTTCAATTTGTTTCTGATATGCACCAAAAGAAGTCAGCTTGTAAAAGTCATTTCCTGTCAAAGATTTCATGACAAATTTGGCTTGATCTCTTTTGTGTAAAGCAACATATGCAGACCGTTCATCAATAAAAGATATAAAAACAGGGCCTAAAGAAAGAAATCATGGATATAAGAATGAGGATAGTCAGATAATGGTTGGTACTATTAAGCTGTAGAGATTAAAAACAAATCAGACAACTACATACCATAGGGTTTGAACAATTCTACAATGTCATACTGTTTCCATTCTCTTGGAAATCTCAAATGAAATACATGATTTCGGGGTGGTTTTACTGTAAATGTTAATTTGTTTTAATGAAACAAGATGGAAAGAAATCCTAGATAATACGAGAAGTTTAGTTGTAAGGATTTGATTCACAATTGACACAGCAAATGAAGAGGCAAACAAAAAATAAAAATGAAGTTACAAAAAACTACCTCAACATTGATTCATATACGTACCATCGGGGCCTCCAAGTAACAAGTATCGGATATCTTGAATTTTCATTAGATACAGCCTGGTTAAGAGAAATAGAACGTGTTAGAAAGTGACAAGAAACAACAAGAAATTATACAGTTAATAAGTAGATTAATTTGACAAACCTGTTTTCAATCTGAGACAGGATTTCTTTTATGGACCCTATGTTGCTGAATTTTATGCCTTGATCTTTAGCTGAAAATGTTTTTATTAAAAGTTGAGATTAAAATAAAGAGGAGAACAGGTACAGACACACAACAATCATGTAATAAAATCAGAGAGAGAAATTTCAAACCAAAATAACAGTGCAATAATGTTTAAAAGGGGAAAGTCATCCTCTTACCTAGATACTGGGACATAGCAAGGAAGCATTGTCCAGTAATAAAGGCATCATAGCCCCCTTCATGGGATTTATCAACCAAGTTGTTGTATGAGTGTCCTTCCACATTTCCCTCTGCAAAACAAAATAAATAAAGAGCTAATGAGTGAACTTCCACCATACAAAGTAAAATGGATGAAGGATTTTATGTTATACTCAATTACCAATTTTTGGCATCTCAAAGGGTGCTGTTGACACAGTGTCCAATAATTGGCCTAATGAGCCAGCTGAAATCAGATCTTTGAACTGTTGTTCAAATGCCATAAATTTTGTATCTATAATTCTGAAGCAGAAACAATTAGACACAAAGAAAAATTAAATTGGACATCAATACATTCAATTTCTCAATGCAGAATACCTTGGGAAAATGTGATGAACAATTTCCTTGAATTCGTCATAATTTGGGGGAAGGGGGTAACGGAAGCGGTGGACTAAATGACAAATATCCAAAAGACAATTATGGGCAACTATTAATTTCCCCTGAAACAAAATACCAGTTACTGATTGTACACTGTAGAGACCAAAACACAAGGATTACCAAAAATGATTAGAATAAAAGTTAGACAACATCAAATGAACTGTGCACTCACAGATTCAGCTATGGCTTTGATCAGGTGTGACAGACCAACAGCTTCTTCAAATTCCTTCCATTCATTTTTTTTCTTCTCTTCTTCCCTTAGTTTTTTAAATTCCTCACCTCCACCTCTCATTATCATCATTGTCTACAATGTAAAATTAAAATTACCAAAGTTAATCCTAGTAAAATGTGAACCAAGAGATTCATAGGTGTTGCTGTTAGTACTATAAATATTTACCATGTCAGAGTCATCACATGTTTCTAAATAGACCGTATCTCCAAATTCCTTTGGAACTTCTTGGTACAGAAGTCTTCTCATGAACCGATTGCAACGGTCTAAAATAAAGCTATCAGCTTTTTTCTCAGAAGTGTCCTCTAAAAATTCTTTAATTTTTTTCCTACGGGAGACACGAGATGTACAATTATATTTCATTCAGGAGGCACAAAAATGTTTTAATTTGAACATATGGATAGCAAGTGTGATCCAGAGACCACACAAATATTATTCCTTCGATTTCTCAGCTCTACTCACATATTGGACTGAAATACAATTTTGAGATCTTCAGGAACAGAAACATCAAAGGAATCTTTTTGGTTTTCCCTTACTATCTTTTGTTGACGATCTTTAATACTTAATTTCAATTTGTCTTCCTCCGGCTGAGTCAAAAAAGGAATACCTAGAACAAAATGTATACAACCCATACTGCAATCAAATTGCAATTATACAGACAGGTTTTACTGTAATATCCGTACCTGCACCAAAGGCTTTGTTGAAATCAAATCCACAAGATGACAGGAATGCTACTGATGAGCTCTGACATAGAAAAGTGCTGTTTGGGAAGCCTTTCAACTTTGAAAAGGGAAAGATGAAGAAATTATAAGCCTGATAAGTGTATCTGCAAACCAAACAGATTGTTTATAATGATATGTAGTTAGCAATCTTCATTTTCAAGAGTGTTTTAACTTACTTGTTTTCAGACGCATCATATTGAAATATACAAAGACCTAACTGTAGAGGTAGGAAATCTAACGCTTTTTGGTGTAATTTTTCATAGTACTGCCGAGGTGTATCGAAAGGCATGGGTTCCAAATCCCGCCCCCCACTAGTTAGGCCAGTAAATTCAAAGTCAATGGTGATAAATTCGGCATCAGACAATGCCCTCTTGAGATTTGGGAGGATTGTGTAGAAATCTGAAGAGAAAAAGTTGAAGTAAAATAAAATTTAATACAAGTACATCAGCTTTACAGCGCAGTTGCAATGGACTACTCTGATTATACATTTGAAAAAATCACGTTATTCCCCCTTACACACAATACATTCAAACCAAAGATATTTCAGGCGCTTTATGTTTTAAGACACGTCACTGAGTTAACGAGCCCTTTTTACACCCATTTGTAGAATGACTTCTGGTGCATTTGTTTATGGAAAGTTGATGACATTATCATGATCATTGGAGGTTTTTATTTATGTTCTTTCATGAGATGATTTGTTTCTTTACTATTTTTCATATACATACATCTATGTAACACAAAGGTTGAAGTCCACACTCCCTCTAAATAGTCCACCATTGCATTGCTAGGAGAAACCTCTGACAAAAGAATATTTAGTAGATGCAAGCTGTGAAGCCGCCAGCCATTTCTCTTATATGAGAAGAGTGTGCAAGAAATTATTACAATTTAAAACTTTTGATTCTGAGAAAAGACTGCTAGAAGTCCAGTAAAAGTCGAGAAATCAGAAATGATAACAAACAATTAGACAACTCCAGCGAAAGAGCGGGCGGAGGCCGCGGGCCGCTGGCCGTGCACGTGTTCTATTACCAGCAAACTAAGCAACTATTTTACAATGCGATTGGAATTTGTTAAAAGACGTAAGTTAGAGATTCAAAAGTGGTAGGCTCTCCGGGTCATCCTCGCTCCACTTTCACTTTAACGCTGAAATCGTCTATTGAGAGCAGGGATGAGGTTACGTTTTCGTTGACAGTTGACAGAAAACATCACCACCATACAGATAGTATAAAGCAACAAACGAGAGGAGGAGCGAAATCCCAGCTATGAATAAATCGGCTTACTTTCTCGTGTCACATCCATTTTTGAGGAACTGAATTCGTGCGAAAAGTTCAATGAGTGTAGTTGCCTTTCAGCTCGGCATACAGCACAACACTGCTGATTGGTGCAGCGCTATTTGTTTTGTGTATTGTTGATGACCAATCCAGTCGACCCTAAAACATAAGTAAAAAATAAAAAAAAATGGCACGAAGAAAAATGAAGAAATGCTCGCACCATGACTCAAGTTTTTTTGCTTTTAAGTACAAGTTTTTCTTGCATTGCTAGATTGTTTGAGTAAGAAACAAAATTAATTCAAGATATCAAACCTTATAAACATTGAGTGTTGGTACAAAAATGCTACCCCTATAGCCTCACTGTAGGGGCCATTCTGTACTGAGGCCTAAGGGTACGTTAACAAAAATTGCGGCATGTAATAGCAGAATAAAACCAGAAGTGTATATTTGATACAATGTCCCATGTTTTATGGTGAGAAGTACATTTATTTTGGTAATTCTACCCGTATTTTTGCCTTAGTTAATGAAAAAAGTAAATAAACAGCATGACTGCTGCTTTTAATGATGATTTCGTTCGCCAAGTTGAGCAAATGAGCAGGTTTCAGGTAAAAGTGCAAAGTCAGCTTGTGTACCTAAAACAAGGAAATTTGACTTGATAGCATGTGGTTGTAGCAGTATAGTTCAAGGGGTTTTCTTGTTAAAGAAGTTTCCGCAGTCCACTTAAGAGAATTTGAGCGTGTGCGATATTTTCTAATGTAATCTGTGTTTGTTTCAGGAGCAAACTCACAAGCTAACCAGCAAATGTTGGGATTTATGTGTCGATAAACCAGAAACGCGCCTTGGAAGCCGTTCAGAGACTTGTCTTAAGAATTGTGTTGAAAGATTCATTGACATCAACAACTTTATCACCAATCGTTTTGAAAAGTCTCTCATGGAGAAAAGATCATCGGACACTTCCTTTGATTAATGTTCGTTGTATTGCCTATGGTAATCTCCTTTAGTTGAAAAGTAGTCGGTTAAGATGTTTTCAAGATTTAGAGATTTTGTTAATCGCCACAAGCGGAAGTTTGTTGTTACGGGTGTGGTTGTTGGAGGCGCATGGCTAGCCCTACAGTATGCTCAGCGGAAACTACGAGAATACACTGAAAATGAAGCCAAGGAATTTATTGAAAGAAGTCGTCGTCAGCAACACTACAAAAGCACAGAGCGGACTTGTGATCATACTATTCTTTCATTGTCACCTGCTATTCATGAGTCCATTATTAATACTGTAAACACAGAAGAGTTGGCTGCAGAACTTCAGACTGCCTCTTCTGGGAAGATTGCTATTTGGGAGAAACTTAAAGTGAAAGCTTTCACCAGAGTTGCTGCTCTTGTATATGCCAATTCCATGTTAGTTCTTCTTTTGAGGATTCAGCTGAATCTTATCGGAGGTTTCCTTGTTAGAGATACAAATGGAGATAGTGGTCTGTCAACAGAACTCCAGCATATATACCTTTCACTTTGTCACCATCTTAGGGATAGTGGAGTTGTTGACCTCTGCAATCTAATTGAAAGGCATGTTCAACCCATTTTAGAAAATGTTTCATTGAAGAAACCGATGTCTCTTCGAGATACGGAGGAGTTATTTTGGTCCATTCAAAACTCTATTGAGAGTAATGTTTATGATAATCCTATAAAAACAATAGCAAGGTATGTGTTTCCACCTAAAGAAAAAGTTGATACTGAAAATCTGCAAGATCAAGAAATACAACAACTCTTTAGTATTATGTCTGAGACTGTTGACCTCCTTGATTCAGATGAAGTTGCATCACTGACACGGTCTTGTGTTAGTCAGAGTTTTGCAGCTGTAGTAGACAAGCTTGCTGAGCAGTTTGCACCTGTGAGCTCAGTAGAACCTATTCCAGGTCCTTCAAATGAGCAAATTGCGAATTCTTGGGCAACTGCCTTGAATAATGGAGCAAATAAGAATAATTCCTTTATTCATCCAAGTAATGTGACTATACCACTGGCCAAACTCATACCTATTGTCAGCAAGCTTACCAAACAGTATCCAAACAAAAAAGATTTGTGGATTTTTCAGCTTGTTCGGAATGATCTTGTTAAAGTTTTTGGAGCTAATGTGTATGAAGCTTTTGGACAGAAAGAATAAATTTTTTTCATTTTTTCTGTGAGTTCTATGTCTTTTGAATTCCATTTTCTTCTTATTCTGTACTCTTTGTCAATTTTATAATATTTTTTCTATTGTTTTTTGATTTATGTGTTGATGTTTTCAAGACACTTCTTGTTGGATGTTACATACTTTCTATGGCATAATTCAGATAATGTGAAGAGCAAATTTTATATATGAACAATTTCTCAGTGTCTCAAATTGTTCATGGGGGATTCAGAGTTCACAAAACGCGAGCGCGATTTCATGACTAATAAGTCTCTTCAAGGCTGCATCAAGCTTACACAACATTGAAAATGATGCTGGGCATGTTTTCTGAATTCTGAATCTACTCTTATGGGGGTTTCCATCTTCTACCTTGCATTGCAATTTATGTATTCCACCAATTTCATTGAAAGTAAAAGATAAATCAGAAGACAGATGTCAATTTATTAAACCTTGCAGATACAGTACCACAATTGAAACAAAACATTTATCTAAAATTGCCTGTGGAAAGCTATTTTAGAAGACCATCGGGCTTTTAAATGAACTTGTCTAAATAAAAACCTCTACACTGAAATAATTCCTGTTTTTGTTAGATCTTCATCAGCTTCACTTCACTGCGGAATGCAAATGTTTACGACATAGCAAACAATCACTACTGATTCCATTAACAGAGACAGTTAATAAGGTGAGTACTGGACTTAACTTCTGGGAGGGTGGGAATAGTGGTTGAGAAAATAATCACAACTAAAACTCACACATGCAAGATAAGAATCTTTTGTGGGGTACAACTTACATTATAGAACACCCTTATTTCTTCTTTTTTTTTTTAATAATAGTAAGACACCCTACCAGGCTATTAACTTTCACTTATATACCACAAGTAGAACAGTATCAGACTGATTTCCCTGATCAATACGGTGAAAGGATAAGAGAAAAATACATGACTTTTTTTTCTTTCAAAAGGAAAAAATATCACAACTTTACAAAGTGCACATATCATGGTATGATGCAAGACAACACCTTCATGGGCACATTTCTGCTTCCTGATGAGCAAAAACTACCATACACTTGTCAAGTATGTCCATGAAAAGTCAAAATTACAGGAAATAATGCTAGGCAAACTAGGTACATGCAATCCCCACTGAAATGGCAATTACCTGAGAAAAATGGCATAATACATGAAGTTTCCAGAAAATTAATTTAAATCCAGTATTAAAATAAATACATGTAGATACAGAAAAAAAAAATTGATATCAAGAAGACAAAGCCCATTCGAAATGACATTATTAGAATCTTTGTAAAATCAACAGTACAAATGTATATGTTTCAAGTTCATTGAGAATAGCTCAACATAATGAGAAATAGGTATGCTACAATCGAAGACACTGAAACTGAATTTGTGAGTACAATTCATCAATATGCTATCAGGAAAAGTGAGAAAGAAGAGCCAAGTAATGCAAAGCATGTAGTTACTGATAAGAAACTCAATCAGAAAGAAACCAATTACTACAAAACCTAAAATTACTGGGATTTCAGACTTCCAAAAAAATAAAAGCCAGTAGTTCGGAGCACACGTCTCCTTCCCTTTCTTAATGAGAAATCTGAACCTCAAATGATGGCCTTGGCATGAACAGTTATGACCTTAACAGTCTATTCTAGATCATATATATCTTTATAGATTTATTTATCAATATGCTTGTATATTTAAATATAGGTATGTATTAATAGGAATAAAACTTTATTCTATTTACCAAAAACGATGTCACATTTTCTGCCAAATAAAACTGATGAACACATTCTCATCCAGCTCTCCTGATCCTTTGGCAAGATGGGTACATACAATAATTTTCATACGGTATAATATAAATCTTCAATGTACACAATATCTACAATTTAATGTACTCCTCTTTTTTTAAAATTTACATTTAAGTTTGGTCACAAGAAAGTAGCAGCAGCACACATACTCTGGCCCTAATACAATGTTGATTTTATTTTCCATGACTCCTCCAACACAAAAAATAAATAAATAGGTATGCTTCTTTTTCAGCTGATTGGAGCAACCAAAAAATTTGTACATGAGAAACTCTATCACGTAGAATACAATTTAATGGAAGCCACTTTGTCCAATTTATGGCATTTATGGTATGAAAAGAAGATACAGATAAGCACTTAACTTGAACAGTGAGCAAAACTAGGTAAATACTTTCCACCATGGAGACAAAATCAGTCTTACAAAAACTCAAATTCAAACATCTAGCAGCACACTAAAATTTGCATTTTTAAAAAAAAGGATGCTAGGGACAATATACTGTTCAACCTCTAAAAGACTTTTGTTTTGACACGTTTACGACTATGTGACCATCATACACACCAAAGCAGCACTCTGTTAATGATGGGAAAAAATCACTAAGGTGACAGTGACAGTGCATGGGAGTTACCAGTATATTGGTCATTTGGCATATTTCTATGTAGTACCGTGTGTCAAGCCTATGACACAACAGTGTTGCTGGTTTGCATACCTTAGGGGCCATGGTGCCACTGGAGGAGCGAGTAGGCAAACCTGCAAACTGTTGTGAAATGGGCCTGACACACAGTACCGCCACACCGCCATTTACTGTCAGGAACAATCATGTACTGTTGAATGTGGTATACATGGTGAATCTACAGTCCACAGGAAACCACTAGTAATAGAGCACATGGTGGCCACAAGACTAGGTAATAATGCCCTGTCGTAAACATTGTATTACTGGTTAAATTTGAACTTTCTAAATAATTACTTCTGCCTTAGCAAGAATTAAAATGTAGAGGAGGGCTGTATAATATATCCCATGTATGTAAAGCCTGTGCATAACATCATATACACAGAAGTAACTCTTTTAGATCCAAATTTTAAAATTGTAAAACAATTTGATGAGATTCTGTAGGCAAAACCTTTTCACCAAAAAACACTAAGGCTAACAAATAAGGTCATACACGAACTTAAATACCAAATAAAACAATAGAAGAAAATAACTACCTAACTTTTAAAAAACAATCTACATTATGCAAGGTTTTCTTCATAAATATCCTTTCATTGCTATAAACAAAAAATAAATAACACAAGACCACATTGCATAATGAAATAATAAAGTAAGATCTTACATTTTATGAAACAAAGAAACTTGAGATATCTGAAAATTTAAGTATCACAATATTAACAGCAACAACAACAAAAAAAAAGGGGGGGGGGGCGCTCAATACAACATTAACCATTTCCCACTTAACACATTACAACTTTCACTTACTGTAAAAACAAAGGATGATTTTGACCCTTTCAAAACTGACGAAGCAAAAAGCTCACCCTTCAAAATGAGGTTGAAATGTAGCATGTATAATATCTTGAAACATTAGAGATGTTATGAACATATGGCTAGTAGCGTTGCACAGCCTTTACAGAATTTTGACAAATCATACATATATCACAGGAACCCCAGGCAGTGCACACAACAAGGTTAAATGTGCCTTCCTAAATGAATGAATTGTTGTCTCCTGCCCATCCATTGACAAAACTGTCGGCACACTGTCATGCAAAATATGATGGGTGAAATATGTAACACAGTACAATCGTTTTTAAATAAAACGTGGGGGCCCTGTATGATGAGAATAAGGAGGTGGTACCCCTGGTGGCGGGCATCCCAAATAGCGGTGATAACGATGTCGGCTGTGTGAAGGGGTAGGGCCAAGTCCATGTGCAAGAGGATGGTGTACATTCTGAGATACCTGCATCACCATCTGCTGAGAGTGAGAGGAATGGCCCAGCTGTGCTGAGTGAATATTGCCATCACCCAAATCTAATTCCAATTCTGTCTGCTCAGCCAGTTGCATTTGCCCAAATGTAGCAGTAGCCATAGCGACATCAGGCATGATGTCTGATAGATGTCCATCACTACAAGAACTACTTCCAGCTTGCTGCAAAAAATAAACACCACAAAATTTGACTAAACTCATACATCAAAAAGAATCATATAAAAAAAATTTCGTGGCACAACTAATATATTCTGAAAAAGTAGCATAGCAATCCACAATACCAACCTCCCCTGGCATTCTGTAGGAGTCACCCTCTGTAACAACAGCAGGCAACTCCCCACGATGGGAACGTGGTAATGTTACTCGTCTGACAGGGCAACCAATACCACTAGCTACACTGCAGCTTAAATTGTTTTCAGATTCAGTTTCCATAACAATATCTATTTCTTCTTCAGTGTTCGAATAACACGCAGCATTCTGAAATTTAACAAGATATAAGGGCCTTAGTGTTGCAAAAATAAAAATGAAATAGAGTATTAATTGCATTTTTCTTGACCTACTTCTAATAAATCAGCAACAGCATCAGGTAGGTTGAATTCTCGAACTACTCTTAATCGAACTTGACGATTGATTTCATGTCGTGATGATAATGGCAAAGAAACTGCTCTTTGAACACTCACACTTTGCCTTAGTTTATGTTCTCTCTTGAGCATTGCTGTCATAGTAGCTGGGTCTGGTACTAGACAAGATAAAAAAAAAATAGAATAAAGTTAAATTGCATTCTAAAAATAGGCAATGAAAATTACTTGATTGAGGAAACATTCATTACCTGGAATAGCTGCCGCAAGTACATCAACAGGGACATTTGTTCCTCTAGATCTAGGTTTATCTTCAACCATGTATAAAGTGTCAGGAATATCCCTAATGTACCGATTTCTTCTCATTCGTGACATATCAACATCGGGCACCAAATGATCTTCAAGGAGAGCCTTAAAGTTGAAAAAGCAAAATATTTCAATTAAGAATATAACTCAACTTGTCAACAGGTTTTCATTCATTTAATGTCAATTGATAAACTTACCTTGCTTTCTTCATAATAAGGCATGAATAGCCGTGGCCTCACAAACAAGCCATTGTTTCTTGTACCTCTTACCCAGGCATCTAATCTGAGAGCTGATACACTATGGCGATCATCACCAATCATGTGGCTTGGAGGAGAACTGACCAGACCTCTTCTAATAGCCTAATAAAGGATTTAAGATAATTAAGAATCACGACAAGAACAAAATAAGTAAAATTTTCCTTTGGAAAATGGCTTACTTGACTCAGAACTTCACTATTTGGTGGTAAGACATGATCTACTCTCACTAAAGGAAGCAGCTCACACAGGATTTCCCGAAGTTCTACATCACTAAGGTCTCGCTTTTTAACACCTTTGCGAGCAACTGAATGGGCAGTATGATTGAGAAGATTTGGTTCTGGGAAGAAAAATAATCAAAGTACAAATAGCTGAAATTTCACTTTAAATTTGTATGCCTGACTGTATCAATATACCTCGATCCTCCATGCGGCGAACAAGCTCCTGTTCACCCCACTTTAATACAGCTTGCAGAACTTCCAATTCACTTGCCTGTATAACATGAACATTACATTAGGATGTAGTGTTCAAAATTATAATTATTTACAAAAGAGCAACTACGAACCTGTAAAAAGTCACTCTGGAGCACCTGAATCAAATGAAATTTGTCTAGCTGATGTAATACAAGGCTTGAGGCAACTTGAGAAAATTCCTCTCTTAAAAAGTGAAGGGCTTGGCGATGAACCTGTTCATATAAATTGAGATGGCACAGAAAAATCAAAATTAATCCTGGAGTATTTTAAGTGAAAGTTGTGAAAGGCATGACACTCTAAAACCCTTACCCAGGCAGAGCCATGAGGTTGGCTACTCCATTTCAAAACAGCAGGCAGTGCATCCAAAGTCAACCATTCCAGAATGAGGTCTTCACAGCCTTGGGTGACAATATCAAGCTCTAGGAAGCGACCCATTTGATAGAGCTCCATAGCCTCCTCTAGAGCACTTGGTCTAGTACGACCTGTATGAGTCAAGGCCTGAACCTAAACATGGGACCGATAAGTAAATAAAGTTATTTCATACAACACCAAAAGTCTTCACCATTTCTGCATAACTCATTACCTCTCCCAAACTGCCAGAACTACCAGCACATCCACTTCCCCTCAAAATAAGAGAGAGATCTACTGTGTCTAGGTATATAGCATGCAAAAGAACTCGAGCATATCTCTTGGGTATCACAAATTCATCCAAAACAATTCTGTAAAAATGTAACAGTGGTTAGATTACAAGTTTCCAACACAGAATACTTATAATTTTTATTTAGTGAGTCAACTATTTTACCTGGTAGGTATGTGAAGTGCTCTTTCAGTATGCTCTTCGCCAGATCTAGTTCTTCTTTGTATGAGATTTCTAAAGAAAGGTGACCGCGCTGAAAGTAATGCTTTGTGGCAGGGAAGCTCTAGTTTGGGTCGGAATCCATACTCTGAACTACCAGAATCTGGTCTTCGACAGTCACCATCAGATGTGAAAACTAGAGCAGCATCAGCATAGTCCCCTGATTCTAGAAGATATCTAAGGTCCCGTTCTAGTGGGTTTAAGGTGCCGAATTCGTTGCCAAGTCTTCGTAATAAAGTAATTCTGAAAGTAAAATTAAAAGTGTGTGAAACTAGAGCAAGAAACTAAACCACAAGAACCTTCAAAAAGACGGTGCCTGACCTTTCAGGATTGTCTTCAAGAGGTCGCAAATCCCCAGTATACAGATAACGCAATAATGATGAGAACATATCCACATCAACTCCTGCTGTGCGGGGCTCAACTCTGATGCGAGCTCCGTGAACTGGGTAGCCAGCTAAGAGATCTCGAAAGTAAGGACACCGAGCAGAGAGTATGGCTCGATGAACAGGAAAGCAAATGCCATGAAAGACAAGATCCACATCAGTACAGTGCTTAAAATCGTACAGTGTGGACAAATCTTGTTTGTAGGTGGCAGCAGGTGGCCGAGCTAACTCTGCTTGAACACAGAGATCCTTAAGAGCAGCTAAAGCTTCATATTCTTCCAGGAGAGCACTAAGTTCAAGTGCACCCCAATCACTAACAAGCTCTCGGAGAACTCGACCATGATCACAAGCTTTGGAGGACCGCCTTTTTCTCATCCATTTCTTTCTGAGGGTGGCAAAACTAGTACCCTTCTTTTTCCGTTCCCTGAAAGCAATAGGTATTAAATATAACAATAATAATGGTTCTGATCCATTTACATAATTCTCATGAAAACAGCAGTAAAACAAATTCTGCATCTTACCTGACTAATAAGCATAGCTGGTCATTGGTCCCAGATGGTACAAGGCCTGGACTTTGATTTGAAGACAGGCGTGCGGCTTGAGCTGTTGAACCACCTGATGATCCAGAAGCACAAAGACCACTCTGACTTCCTATACTGCCAATTGGACCACTAGGGCCACCAGGACCACCCAGCCCCCCAGCTGGGTTGGAGGCCGAAGCACCCATCCTCTCACACATACGTTACACCAGAGGTAGAATACATTTTCACTGCAAAGAACCAAAACAAAATGTGTACATAAAATTAGCAACCAGAGGCACTTTGATCTAGGCTTTAATAATGATAATGAACAAGTTCAAACAATCAGTTAAAGTATTTGAAATATATGAAAACCCATAGAAAAAAGTGCAGATCAACAAATGAAGTTTATTGACAACTGTTACACTTCTCCCCTTAAATTTCTTACAATTCAGTTTTAGATTATAGATTAAAAACAAGTTACAAGTCCAAACAAGTTAATTTTGTATTTTTCTGAACTGAGACTGACACAACTTTGCTTGGTGCTCTCATTTATAATGGAACACAACAATGAGATTAAAACACACAGATGTTGTGTTGAGAACTACAACACAAAAATGAAAAGTGCTATAAGCAAACAATAAGTCCCCAAGAAAAGTAATAAAGAAACGAAATATCGATGTAAACATTCCATAACTTTTCTTCACTCTAGGCTACGAGAAATTAATAAAATTGACGTTTACGTTTCGCAAACATTTCTAGTGTTAAGAGTTGTAAAAAGTCAAAACTGGTAGTACGAAATTCAGATGTAATATCCCGATAAACGAATGAGCGACTATGAAACAAGACAATTGTTGTTGCGAGAGTATGTCAATGGTAGTGTCTTGCAGGCTCTAGCCTACATTCAGTCAAACTGTCGGTGAGCTGGAGAAAATGCCACAGTTCACAAACTCATCATAACCTCGACGAAATTTACTTGAAGCCGAAAAGAGTCTTACCGTCAAATGAAGCTTTCATTTCGACTGGCCGGAAAACAGACAAGACATTTTCGCAAGGTAAATATTAGGTCAGAAGAGACCAGCTACCGTGTAGTCGCCATGTTTCCTCAACATTTTAGGATTTGTGGTTGCAGGGGAGGGATGAGGACGGAACTAGTTGACCGAAAAGAGCTACACATCCGATCTCATCTCTCTTTCGTCCCCTTCTTTATTTCTTAGAACTCAAATTAGATTAACGATTAAAATAACAAAAAAATTGGCCCGACAAAATGCAATTGAAATGTTTACTCTTTCATTCTGAAATGTAAAAATTTCGAAATCGGACAGAACACGAACACTAGCTGGTGTTGGTAATACTGTGTGTTTGCTGTGGTGGTAGTGGTAGGGCTGTGTATGTGTATGTAAACACGAATTTGAGGTTACAACATTTTCTGTCAAACACAAAATTATATTTAGTTTATTATTATCAAGTATGGCATCGTTTAAAAACTCTAAGAAGAAGGTGTCCCAGGAGGAGCTTCGCCGTTTGATGAACAAACACAAAGACAAATTCGTAGAATCTGTCAAGAAGATTGATTCCCCATTGGCCAAATATCCTTTATCTGCTCAATTTCATTTTGCATTTTTTTCCCACCTTCTGTGCCTTTTTGTTGTTCGGAGTCTAACAACTCATGTTCTTTTATGTTTTCCATGGGAATCTTATATTTCCTTAACTCTCTCCCTACGTACACCAATGATGGCACACTTATGTGCGTCCTGTGTAATACTGTAGTCCGGAGTGAAGCTGTATGGAATGTACACATCAATGCTAAGGCTCACAGAGACAATATACACATAGCAAAACAGAAAAAAGTTTCTTCTGAATTCAAGTCACCAGCCATGGTTGCAGCACCTACATTAAAACGCCAAAGTGAAACCATAATGAATGATCCTGTACCAGCAAAGAAAATTAAAGGTACCCTTGGAAATTAGAGTATATTTGAATTCTCAATCAGAAATTTCTGAATTGGTTGGATTGTGTGGAAGAGGGGAAGATGTGTGCCTATTTGGGATATCCCTAATAAGAATTCGGGCAGATAATGCGTTAACATTTTCAATACATTCAGCTCAGCATGATTTTTTAGGAATACCAAAATATTTTTTTACTATGCCAATATAATCAAGTTTATTTTGTCTGCAGGAATTCTGAAGAATGCACCAGTAAAGGCCCCCACACCTGCATCTGTACCTACTGATTTTTTTGATGGAGTTGCAACAGCGGGTAACAATAAAACACCAGTAGTATTGTCTCATATAATGGAAACCACTGATGCATGCGAAGCAATGGATGATAATGATGGAAATGGTGATAATTCCTCTAACTCTGGGTTAAGGGAAGAAGCACTTCCTGAAGGTTTTTTTGATGATCCCATTATGGATGCCAAAGTGAGTAGTAGTACTCCAAATCTTGTTTTAAACAGTCTGTCCAAGAAAACCGAAATACGTCTTGGGCTTCATTTTACCCCCCCCCCCCCCCCCCCCCCCCCCACACACACACACACACTTTTTTTCTGGTTTAATGATTTCTAGTTTATGTTCAGATTAAACATAATGTGTAATTTTTCTTCCTAGGCAAGACATGTTGAATATAAGGATCCAATTGAAGAGGAATGGGAAAAATTTCAGAAGGAAATTAAGGAAGAAGTTACTGTCTCTTCCCAAATAATTGAAGAAGATCATGAGGAAGCAACTGCTGAAAGACAGATAGAGGAAATAGATGAGCAACTGCGAAATTGGAATAGGTATTATAATAGAAATATAGTACAAGTTTAATCTCAATGTATGATTTTCCTTTTTATATTTATAGTCCTTAGTAATTTAATAATCTATGCCTTTTTCTTCATTGAAGGGTACTGGAATTAGAACGTAAAAAGGAGGCTGTCAAAGCAGCTGAACGAATCAAAATGGAAATAGACGAGAATATGAGTAGTGGAGAAGATGAATTTGATGAATTTCTTGATTGGAGGTCGAAGAAATCATACCGATAATTTTTCTTGTTTTGATGTCTTCATTTCTACCACTGATAATCTTTCTGATATGGAGTATTCTTTAGGGGATGTAAAGGCATTAAAACTAAAATCTCTGGCTTTTTAAACTACATTTTATTGCTTCACCTTTGACATAAAACAGCATTTTTCAAATTATACATACGTAATATTCCAAGCAGCATGTACTTTAAATAGAAGGAATGTTCTAATGAAATCACCTCTCTAGAAGTGTTGCAATAATAAAGTACTTACATGGCAAATAAATTTGAAGTAGTTTATACACAAACATGAATAAGCAACTTACTCTAACTCAATCAAGAACCGATCAATCAAGGTATACCAACATTAAGACATGCTGAAGATTTATTCAAAACAAATAAATGAACACACAACATGGCATTTGACAAACTGATAGATAAAATGTAGATAGAAACAAATGTGATATTTTCCATTTACTTGCAACACATTGTCTTGATTCTTTCGAAAGATGAGGGTGAAAACCTTCAGCTTACAGATAAATTACCAACAAAGATAAAGCTGTACAAAGTCAACATTTTCAATAGTACATTGAGTAAAAATAACAAAGAAAAATTGGGAGAAGTTCTTATTTACAGATGAATAAAAGTTTCAACGCTAAAAATGCTGTTCTGAATTGAAATACTGACTTCCTACGCGCCAAACAAAAAATAACAGCCATGGCCATACATTGACAATGTGTGAGTGCTTAAAAGACATGTATTTAGTCAAGGAATTTACGGTTGGGGTTGCGCCCGAAAAGAGCAACACGAACTTCAGGCACAAGTTGTTGTGCTACCAAGTCAAGACGAGCCTCCAGAGTATTACTGATCTTAATACGACCTCGGTTGGCAAGCAATTCAATTCCACCAACAGAATCAACGGGCAAAAATGACTCAGAATCCAATTTTATGTGAATTTCCTTGTTTGTGTTAGATTTGTATTCAGACACACAGTCATCAACAATGCTTTTAACCAGGTTTTGGTCAACTTCACGAGCTCGCACAGTTACAGTAGGCTCCAAAAGCTGAAATTTAGAAAATACAAGGGCCATTTGAGAAAAACCACATTCATTGTGTAAAGCAGTAAAACTTTCACAAATTTGAAAAAATATCATGATCAAGAGAGCAAACATACCTGGTAGAGCCCCTGAATAATCAGCTGTTTAAGAATGTTGGTATACTGTTGCTGGTTGCGCGTAACCTCTCCCAAACGTCTCCTTGCTTCATCCAACACACCACGGATATGGTCTTCACGTACCTTTAGAGCTTTCAAGCGGGCTTGGTTCAGCATGTTTGATGATTGACTAGAAAAATATGTGACAAAAATGTAAATTGGAGATACAAGACAAAACATTGATAATAATTCATTGGCTGTGGTCAGAAGTCTAAATAAAATGTTACATGAGGCAAAGATTAATTTTTACAACTGTAGGCAGTCTTTAGAGAAGATATCAAATTCATGTGTTGAGAGGTCTCTATGTACACAATGACCATCCACCGAAACCACAACTTTGGTCATGTTACAGTTGACACTTACATCTTCTTTTGAAGTTCAACCTGCTTCTCTTTTTTCTCAAAGTACTCCATGATTTTCAGACGTTGCTGTTGGACTAAACGACCCTTTTCAATGTTGAACTCCTCCTCTGCCTTTGCATCAATTTCTTCAGCTTTCTCATTTGCCTCTTGTTCTATGAATGCCATCATATGCTTGATCTGTGGGAAGAAGATAACAAAATAATAATGGTAGACCTTAAAAGAAAAAGTGCATAATTTGTACCAACATCTAGAAATATGACACCTTGAAATTGGTTAATGAGTTTTAAGTGTTAAATCAGTGCTTTTAATTAAACTTCTGTCATACTCTGCTAAAAAAGAGGAAAATATGTACAGCATCCTAAATTTTTGAAAAATTAACTTAATTTAATCAGATTATTACTTTTAGATCTGTCTGAAGGGAATGTAGAACTGGATTCAGGGGAATATATTTTGCTCCTTCCACATGGAGGAAGATGATGACTTAGAGGTACACCCATCATGTGACTCCCTCCCACTAATACACAGACCCAGACAATTCAGTAAAGTGCTTTCGTTGACAACCACTGCATGGAATATTTATTTTTTTGCGGGGGGGGGGAGGTCATATTTATGGTGTATAAAGCTGCGACCCAAGGCGTTCTGTAGTGTGGGTTCATTTACGAGTCTTTTGTACCCTACGACTAGATATGCAGTATTTCTTATTTAAAGAAACGCTGAAAAATTGAGTAAAAGTATCATCAACATTAATTTTAAGTGTAAACAAGATACAATTTAAACTTGAACTCAAAGAACAGGAAAATAATATGAAATGTTTATTTGAAATTATTCATGGACTTTGATGGGTCATATTATCTTCAAGAAATACATGAAAGGCCAGTCAAAGTAAAAAGGTGGAATCAAAACTTGTAGCGAGAATGGAAGATTTCAAAGGGAAGAAAAGGTGTTAGAGAGTGGAATAGACAAGATACGAAACAATCACGTGAAGTGCCAAACTGGACTGGCCAGGACCTCCACATCACATACTTTACCTGTTTTTGAACATCTGCGTCGGAGAGCGCCATGGTGCTGAAGTGTATTAGATTTTCTGCACACGAAAAATTAAAATTTTACAGAGAAACGAGTAGCTTCACTTTGAAATGCAAGATATCCGAAAGCAGTGACGGAGAGTCGATTTCTGTGGACTGGTGGCCCACAAAGATCATATGACTGTCTGCTACAGCTGTGGTCAAGTACTGCTTGACATATCTTACTGCAGCACAATAATTTATCTCTTCACCAAAGACTTTTCTGGAAATTTTGAAAATATCTGAAAAACAATAAAGTCTTTAGAGGTGAGGATTAAATTGAAATTTCAAATTGTCCCTTACACATATCTCCGAGTTTGACTCATGCAGTCACGAAGGTAGTTTCGGAAAGGCATCTACTCCTCCAGCCTCCAGAGCTGAGTTTGGGAATGACGTTGAGTTATTTAGTGATCGAAATATATGGTACTTGTGTTAGCTTGTAATAGGTTTGAATGTGACCATATCTTTGTCCTTAAGACATCTACTATCCCTATGTATCTTGAGTGGATCAAAGACTGTGTTGAAAAGTATTCGTGCGAAAATAATGGCTTCGTATCGCAGACGCAAAGAAGAAAACAACTTTGAGCGTACCTTGACTTGGAAGGTCGAGCCTTAACGACCATACAAACTCTTTTCCGTCAAAACGGATATTCCGCTTATTAGCCTTGTCGTCCTTTATGAATATCCCCTCGCCAGGACCAAACAGTAAGTATAATGGAGAAGTACAATCAAACCCAAATCTGATCGGTGTGCCGCATCCAGCCTAGCTTGTAGTCATGTGAAAATATACTCACGTCATAATATTTGATCAAATTCAGAAATGTGTGTGCCATCTTACTTCACCACTTTACCGATACTCTACTCCCTTAAAGTACATACCTCATAGCTCTAACCTTGCGTCCAGGTTTTGTTTACGTGAGTGGTGTCCCCTAACCCTATACGGCTGGTCAGAAGATGTCAAACATAACCAACCTGCACTGTCAGGAAGATCTCAGTATTATTCCAGCTAACCGCATTAGTTTTCTTGGTACTTAATGTAAACAATTGTACGTTCGTTGTGAAGTGTGTGAAGCTTGTGACAGCCATTCAGCTCTTTGATTTGCCAGTTTACAATACCTGTCAATACTTCACTTTTAATTGTCTTCCTCATAATTTTTCAAAGTTTACTTGTTCCAACACACTTTGTCCACTTTTGTAGATTTTTTATGTGTTTTAGTAAGACTATTGTGGAACTGGTACTTCACAAGCATACATTCTTTATTTTCATGCATTTTAGAAACTTGTCTTGAATCAATCAATTATAGTGGATTGTTTAATTATAACTTTATTAAAGAAATTTCAGATTTCTTCACCCTTATGTATTAACAGTTTTGTTCTAAGTTCTCTGGCTGTCCAAGTTAGGTTTCCAAGTCCATAATGCATTGTTGTTTTTTGTGGTGTCCAAGCAACAGTGTAACCTTTTTATCGTCACATTCTTTACACAACAATTTTTTTTTCATTATTATTTCTTATATTCTTTTGAGGTGTGAGCATTTCACTCCTGTATGCACTTACAGATTGAATATTGTTTGTATCTTGGGCTCCTTGTTATCGTCACCCAAATGATGTTGGAAGCCAGAGGTGCTGAGGGGATTCTACCTATAATTATCATCAGAGAAAATCTGGAACTTTTCTAGCATTATCTTGATATTAATTTCCTCTTTCTCCCTTGTAGAATTTGATTGTCTTCACATCTTTGAGGTCAGCAGAGACAGCCATTGGTCTAGAAGAAGTGGGCAGTAGTCTATGACTTGCATCAGGAGGTAAAAAACAAAAAAATCTATTATTTTAGTACCGGTATCTAAAAATTTCAAATAAACTTAATTTTGTCTTCTGCCAAATCGTATCCCCTCCCCCTTCTATCCCGTAGTTTTGTGAGTTTAATTTACTTTTAGAATGCTTTGAAGTCATGTATCCATTTCACAATAACTAATTGCAATATAATGCAATTATCTAATGACTGTTTAAATTTGTGTTGCTTTTGTGTGTCCTGGTTTGCAGGGTAGCAGGTCATGTCCAACAGTTTTCAGCAGCTGCAGCCTGCATCCCAGCCTCCACGCAGCGCAGCGAATCCAGGCTTGTCACGTGGAGGATTTGGCATGAACTCACTCTCCGGCCATGTCACGCCCACTTCGGGCATGTTCCCTTCTTCCTTTACTCCACAACAGTTGTCTCCTAATCGGTCCCTTAATATGGGAAGCCGAATGTTTGGTGGCCAACGAAACTTCACAGATCGGCGAATGCCTGGTCTAAGGTGAGATACTATGTTTTCTAAACATGGCATCTTAAAACATTTAAAGAAAATAAGCTTGGGATTGAGGGCCTCATTCTAGCACAGGGTTAAGTTTATGATATATCTGCCTAGGTAGCCCTTAAATGTAGTAGCTTTTATTATTTGTTTTGTGTAATCTTTTTACTTGAGCTATTATCCTTTCTAATGGTTTATTTTTTTAAATTTTTCAGTAATTCAAATTCAATGGGAAGTATGGGTAGTTTTGGTATTCCTCCAAACCGAACATACGGCTCACAAGGGACAATTAACAACTTTCACTCAGTATTTGGTGGTAGTGGTGGTGGTGGAGACACTAGCACTCCACCACTACTAGACTTATCCGAGTTCCCATCACTGAATCGGGGGCAAGGTGACACCATGCCTCAGCCCAATCCACCAATGCCTGGCAAGCAGCCTTATGGTGAGTGAAATGTACACTCAGGGAACTCCCTTGTAATAATTAAATCAACCATGGATATAAAAATTGTTTTCTCTTAACCTCAGGTGAATAAATTAGATTCTTCCTATTTCACTAAAGTCAACTGAAGTATATTTAGTAATCTATGCTGTAACTAATTTCTTGTGTAACACACAGTTACATGTTTTCTATTTCCTTTGTTTCTTTTTATTTATGTCTATAAACATTAATCTCCCTCTCCCTATTTAAAGAAATCAATCTAAAATATATATCCATTTTTGCTACATCATTACTTAATGATTGCCAAGGTCTTGTTATGTTTCTGTTGTTTTGTTTTTAATTATTAAAAGCCAATAAGGAAGCAATACCTCCTGTTGGGCTGATGTTGCATGCACATTTATTGCTTATTACATTTATTTTTATTTTTTTGACAGCATCCCTCACACACCTGCATCAACGAAATTTAGAAAAAGTCCAAGGTTAGTTCTGTAAAGGCTCTTTAAAGTGACAATCCATTTTTAAGGGTTTTCTTTTTCTCAATCCTTTATGGTTTTTTTGGTTTCTAATCCTTTCTTTAACCAAAATAATAAAAAAGTATCTACCTTTTAAATTTGTTTTAGGTCAGATTGAGAACTCATTTTGGCCCTTAATGTGTTTTCAGCTATATTATTCAATTATTGCCCTCAATGCTTGCAGAGTGGAGTGCTACACCAAATTTCTTTCTCTTAAGGGTGTTACTGTGATGGGATTGTAAAGGAGGTGCATCTGGGAAACAAGCCAATCTAAAATCAATCACCTTGTATTTAAAAGTTTTAAGTAGAACTCTTGCACTTAAATTGGCACAATTAATTCTCTATTTCCTGCGTCCTAATACATTTTTTCATACTAATGCAGTCTACTTGAAAAACCTCATTGTATTGGACAGCCTGCATGTGTTATTAAGGAATTTGTACCTGATATAGACGATTTTATATCTTGGTCCATTTTCCTGTTAAAAGGTTGCTATGAAGATTTGAATACAAGGCGCAAACCTGCAGATGACATAAGGGGACTATTTTGGACTTGTTTTCAGAACAGAATTCCACAACTATTCCACCAAAGTATAACACTCGGTATGAAAAGAAGTGGCCTATCACTACCTGGTTCTAAACTTCCTCATTCTGTACATTGTTTTGTGGGGAGCTCTAAGCTTTTCTATGTCTTCAGACTTTGAATTTTCCTCACCTCTCACTTGTGTGAATCAATAATACAGTATTTCAGCTTAAATTACTTGGTCTTAGACTCTTTTTGCTGTAGTAATCTGCTCCTCTGTGAAAAGCTGAAGTGGCTGGAAGGGAAGAAGGAATTGAATTACACCCTTCAGATCAAATTGAAGTCTGATTTTGCATTAAATATGGAACAGCAAATCTTTTTTTATTGACAACCTGTGGGCCGAATACTTAACTTCCATTATGTAATTTTAACTTATTTATTCAAATTTTTGTTTCTCAGTTGGAATGGTGAAGCAACCTACCAATGAAGCAAGTGAATTCACCATGAGTTCAGAAGATTTTCCTGCGTTACCTGGTACCCAAAACCAGGAAGGACCATCACCTGGTGGAAGTGTGTCAGGAGAGAAAGGATTACCGGGAGTCATAGGCAGTGAAATAACTGGTCTAGATTCATCAACAGGGCGAGGAACAGCAGTAGAGAAGGCAACGAAAAGAGGAATACAAACGTCACCAGATGGTAAGTTAAAACATGAAACATGATTGAGACTTACTCTGCAAATCGTCTCGGTATTATCTATATTTTCTGCTACTGTTTTAACTAAATAGACTTCCTTTGTCACTCCCCCCCCCCCCCCCCCCCCCCCCCCCTCTTTTTCTTTTTTTTTTTTTTTTTTTTTTTTTTAGGTAAAGTGACAAATGTTCCAGCCAGTATGGTCAAAGACCAATTTGGAATGGTTGGTCTCTTAACATTTATTCGAGCTGCTGAGACAGATCCCAATTTGGTATCACTAGCATTAGGGCAGGATCTGACTGCATTAGGACTTAACCTCAATTCACCTGATAATCTTTATCCAACATTTGGTGGACCATGGGCTGATACACCATGCAGACCACAGGATATTGATTTCCATGTACCCCCAGAATATCTTGTCAATGCAAGCATCAGGTAAGAGCGTAAACCTACATATGTGGACATGTATCTCTTCTTTCTTTTTCATTCTCAAGTTGTAAACTTTTTGTTATAGCTATCCTTTCATTTTTTCTCTATGTATTTCTTTCATTTACCAGAGAGAAGTTACCTCCAATAAGACTGAACCGGTACAAAGATGATCTGCTATTCTACTTGTTCTACACAAATCCAGGGGATGTCTTACAAATTGCAGCAGCTACAGAATTGTAAGTAGGGCGTAATCCTGCGTTTTATCTAAAAATTTCTGAGATTTAACAATTATTATCTATTTGTAGGTACAACCGTGAGTGGCGGTATCATATGGAGGAGAAAGTGTGGATTACTCAAGCTCCTGGTATGCAAGTTCAAGAAAAAACTTCAACTTACGAACGCGGCACATATTACTACTTTGACCCTCAGAACTGGAGAAGAGTTGCGAAAGAGTTCCATTTGGATTATAGTAAGCTGGAAGGGCGACCTCATTTGCCACCTTCACTTGTCCCTATGCCGCCTACTGGAAGCATCTAGTCGAGACATTCTAATGCCAAGAAACGCATGCACATTTTCCTGCTAAAGAAGAAGGGATATACCCAGGGATTTCCTCTTTTAGTTTCATTTAGAACTAAGTGAGAAGTCAATGTTCAATTTGCAAGAACTTTGTGCGGCAATTACATTTGAACATAATCAGTGCATTTTCCTTGTGTACATATTACTTTTGACTGTTGAAAGAAACAAATTTTTCTTCTTTTTCCAGACTTGTCACTTCGAATTTTATTTTTATACATAGCATTCAGTACTTTTAAAGAAATTATTGTATTTGATGCAAGGTGGCTTTGGAATAAAGAGGTGTCATCATTGTTATGTTTTTCTCTGTATGTAGTGGGATGTGTTTCCTAACATATTCTCGAATATTGACTGCATGTACTTTTCTAAGTTTTCTAAATGGCATGTCTTAAGGTGTACTTTGAAGATGTATTGGTGTGAACTTGGTCTTTCTGGCACAGTTTTGTTGAGTTGTTGTCTTTTATCGTTATGTTATAAATTGGCTTTAAGGAATCAACTATTGACACTGATTACATGCTTACATGATGTAAATGACTTCTTATCTTACTACTAGATCAATCAATTGTGAAAATCATTCCATGTAATCTTTGAAAGTTGCTTTTCCTCACATTCCTCAATGTTTGAGTACAATATTACAAGTCATGACTGAGGCATAGTGTTGCCTCTCAGCAAATGTTCACTAATCTTTGATAATATTTTAAAATCTTCCTTATTGTACATGCAGTCAGTAGAAGACCTGAGGCATGTCAATCACATCACGTTTGAGAATCAAGGGAACAGAATCAGCCATGCAAAAATCTACTTTTAGAGCTCAATTTCCTTACTTTTAGTCATCATTCTTTAAATTACATACGACTTGCAAAGTTGATCACTACCACTTCTTGAGCAAATGAAAAGTTTCTGTATGGCAAAGCTTTGCAAATTATCGCTTTTGATACCTTGACTTACGCTTTACTAACTGTGAACTCAGCTTCTCCCCCCTCCCCATTCATGTCCATTGATTTTTTGAAGTCAGAAAGGAAAAATTTCTGTTGGTGTTGGAATTCCGATTCATAACCAAAGCAAAAGTTCATTGATTTGGGTATCACAATGCAGAAAATGGCTTCCTCTTTGTGCCAAACTGGGAGTAATGTGCCCAATGCCGATTTTTGTCTGGCAAGGTAGGGGGAAATAAACATGCAAAGTTAATTAATTGCTCTTGCCATTTGCATCAGTCTAATCAAGGAAAGGTATTACAGAAAATTAGATAGCAGTACCCCAGGTGATTGTGTCTTTATTCATTTTTTTTTTTTTTTTTCTAGGTGCACATTTCTGTTGTATTAAGAGGCTCAAGCTTTATTTTCTTGTAGCTAAATCATCTGGTCCAAATTTTTATTTGCGTAAAAATATGAACCCTTGTTGTGGTAGGGTGAAGGGTCAATTTTTGTTACAAACATGTGATATATTTATATAACGTAACTGTTGATGCATGTTTTGTTATTTTATATTGTGGTTGTAAATGTGTGGTTTCTATAATATGGATCCCAGTTCTGTACTTATCCTCATTTTGTTACAAAGGGATTTTTGCACTTGGCCATTGGTTTTCTGTAAGACTATGACTGGTTGAATGGTAGTTATCCACTATGAGATAAATTGAAGTTGAAGCATTATATACTAGTGCTGCCTTAGTCTGACAATATGTTAATTCTCTGCTTGTTCTACATTGAAATTTTTAACTTCCTGCATGTTGATCATGCTGAAGGATATTGGTGAATATTTATTGCTCAAACCATCTTTATAAAGCCTCTATTCCTTTTCTTTCTTCTTTCTTTTTTTTTGTTACATTGTGTAATAAGGTTCCTACTCCCTGGCCCTGTTCTTGTGCACTCTGAGCATACCTTCTCTCTTTTCCCCCTACTGTTTTTGTTGTTGCTTAGAGTGGTTTGGTTGCAACCAAACACCAACATGCCTTTTATTTTTTTATTTTTTTTAAAAATACTGTACGTTTCATGGTTATTTTTGCATCAGTACCCACTTATTAGAAACGCCTGAGAGCTTATTTGTTGGAACTTGACCATTACAAGTTAGCTGACTGTTTGAAATTCATTTATATTCTCAAAATAATAATGAAAAATACCATGTGATCTATTTGAATCAAGGGCATAAGGATTTAATACTGACTTACACAGCTGTAGACAAAAAATTCTTTGTAAATTTCTTTATGACTATCCAGTTTGAGATACATATTTACCTAGCTGTCAACACTCATGCTTTTAAGCCTGGATATTCTCATTTCATACCTTAGCAACCCACCAATCCAGACCACCAAATTTGACGGGGAGACACCCGTTTTTCCTCACATATTTTTATTATGAGAAATGTCTTCTGTTGTCCTTGCTGTGATGTACATGAATTCTGAAGTGTAATTGTACATGTTTAACTTAAGGAAATTTTTCCTTTGTTTTTCATTTTTGAAATTGGGGAAAAGGATTGTAATGCTAAATGAGGAAAAAGTGACCCTGTATTTATCTTTCTATTTTGTACAGAAGATGATCTGTGAATAATGTACAGTTTTCCAATGCATAGATTGGGTACATGTCATGCGTTCTATTCAGATACGCATCCACAGTAGAATAAACTGTACCTGTCCAATTTTATTTTTCATTTGATTTGTCAAATCCTGGTATAGTAATGTACACTTAATCCCTCAGGTTAACTTCCCAAGAAAAAAATTAGGAAAAAAAATGATAACCTACCGCAAGTTTTAGGGACATTTTAAATAAGCAAAAATTATGAGTGACTAACTGAATATCCATAAAGCTTTATCTTGTTCTTTTGATAAATAACCGTTATAGAATTCAACAGCACTTAATGGCCGTTTCCTGTGTGGTGCTATTCGCCTTACTATTAAGAATGAGTTTTCCCTACATCCTATAATTAGATATTTACCTTTTCTGCTGTATAAAACTTGCCCTGGTATAACTGACGCGGACTGGGAACTGTCTTTAATTGGGAGACTGCTAGTAATACCGATTAATCCTTGAAGTTCAGTATCTAAGTTGTCATCCAGGGCAGAGACATCATGTAAGCTAAGTCTTAATCCCATCCATGATATCATCAGAGGAACTATGCCATATAGTGCTCTGAACTTGTTGTAAATGCATTTGGCGCTCATTTTATCAAATTCAATAACTCCTAAATCTGATGTGATTTTGGGGGCTGTAATATAATACACAGTTAAATTACTGTCTTCAATGTAACAACCGAACAGATAGATACAGAATTTCTAATTACCGTAAGTTACACCGTCATGTGGCTGGGGCTTTGCATTCATTAAGCACATAGGAAGTTTCCGGATGCAAGAAATTATTTCCTCCCCTCCAATCTCACTCAATCGTTGTCGTAATTGAGGAGCCGTCTCCATTGGATGAATCTGTACTTCTCTCTTGGTGACTACTTCACCTAGATCAAACCTTAACAATACCAACTATTAGAGTAAAGACAAATGTAATAAAAGATGCAAAGAAGAACAATAAGGTCAATGACATGAGAAAACTCACTCATATGGCTGAATACGCATTATAGAAATACCAGTAATTTCATCACCGTGCATTATTGCATAATTAACTGGAGATGCACCACGCCATCTGGGAAGTAGACTTCCATGTACATTCAACAGCCCCCTACAATGGAAATAAGACAGATTTTTAGGACTAATGTTCATCATTTTAAAAAATTACTTTCAATGCGTATGTCATGGTAAAGGCCCAGAGAGCAGTAAATCCCGGATTTTACTGGTCTTGGTTTGACCTAGGTGGTTTGGGAAAAGTCCGATGTAGAGAGGTAGGTCCGGAGTGTGCCTGGTAATAATTGTATGAAGCTTTTACCCTGCCCGTCACAGTAGAGGCTACAGAAAATAATTTTTATCATCACCCTTTTATTAAAATATTTTCCGGAATTTTTACTGGTGCAGTCAGTTTCAGTATGGCACTAAGAGCCACATAGCAGCCCCTTTGACTTGCAACTACATTTACTACCTTTCTTGCAAAGGCACTTTGTGAAGCCCTGGCCGCTTGATTAGCCATGGAGACTTGCAAGATTGGCGTCGATTGAGTGGATACAAGAACCAGCTTGATGCAAACTGCGCCATAAACATAGAGGTCATAAAAAATATGAAAAATAATAAAATGAAAATGTGATGAAAAGTAACTGGTACAGCTACAGCATTCACTGTTGTGCGCAAAATCTCGATTTCACCAATATTACCGGTGGAAATCCAGACCCGCCATCCTACATTGGGCTTAAGAGAATTTAAATGTGATGGAATTACTGGGTGCAATGAGATTAGAAGCAAGAAATGCTAACTTACAAAGGAAACGAATCAATAACTTGTTTAGGTATTAGGTGACCAAAGGATGCTACCACACCAATATCAAAATCACTTATGACATGTGGGTCAATGGGCCACTCATGAATAACAAGTCCCTCTTTTTGGCCAAAGAGTCTCACTGGATTCAGATGCCACTTTGATGAGACAACCTCAAGCTTCGATACGGTTTTTGTAGTTCTCCTAAAAAAATAAAAAAAATAACAGCATTTACTTCAAATAAAACGTTCAATCAGTTCATTGTTAAAACTAATAATATTTGGTGACACGTACTTACATTTCATCAGTGAGTCGAGATAAACTTCCTAAGGAGAAATCATCGGTTCCAAAAAACATAACCTTCCATGAAGAAGGGGTTGTGTTCTCACTCTTCCTCACGATTTTTTTAACTGAACTAAGAGGTACACTGTGACAAAATGTTCTGAAAAAGTATCGTCTCCTTTTCCCAGACTTTAATATTTTAAGTGCCATGGCTGTTATATCCATGGTATGACAAAATATATACTGTTTTTAGGAATTGAGATCACATTTACACCATTCTGCATGTTTGTTTCTGTCTTTCATATCGTCTGCAGCTTCTCAGTAACCAACATTATTCGTTGAAGACAACAAAGTTATGATGACTGTATCTACTAGTCACGTACATGTTCAGGAAAAAACACATGAAATCCTACCAAGTTTTCAGTGAAGAACGTACCAGCAGTGAAAGAACTCACTGCTTCCTTGTTAATTTTGCAGGTACTTCTCATTTTTTGTGTGTGTGTTGTCGCGTCTGGAACCTGTCGCACTTTTCGACTGCTTTGTGCGCATGCGTGGAACACCCAATAGTCAACAGTTGACAGTCATCTATCCTGTGTTTTCAGTTCATTTCTAATTTCCAGCATACACCTCGCCATCTTGGAATTCCTTTCACAGTTAGTATTTTCGTCATACTTTTGCAACAAATGTCAGTAGGTTTGTGTCCTCATTGAAGTCGTTTCAATGTTGTTTATTCACTCTAAAAATCCGAAGGCTTATTTTGCCAGTAAGAACAGAGCCCGTAGTGCTCTGTTCCCCTCAAACTTCAGTAAAATTTGTTCAGACTTCCATGGCGTATTGGACAATAAGAACCCCTCTGTCTTGTGTTTTTTTGTTGTTAGTTTTCTAGTTTATTAGTGCGTTTGAGGCTTATTTCAATCCACGAATTTACTTTGAGCTCTTACTATTCCAGTTTCATACCTGAGAAGTATTCTGAAATCTTATGTCTTTGCCTGTGATTTCCTATACTATATTATCTATTACATTTTTACATTTGTCTTCATTTGCCCACTCCTTTGTAATATTATTGCGATAAAGACTTTTCTCTTCTTTGGATGCTATCACATTTTCCACTCAACTGGTTGTAGTGCACTTTTCTAGTCTATCTGATTCAAATGTAAAATATTAGTCATCAACCTCTTCAGGCAACATTAAAGAGTTTCACCTCAGGCATTGTTTTATACATATGGTGCCCAATCGCTTGTTGGGGGTATTTTATCTTTGCTCACTGATTTTCTTGTGAATTGCAGTCAAAATGTCGCAGTCAAGAAGTTCTGAAGACCCAGATCTCTATTGGAAAAACAGAGCTGAAGAGCTTGAGCGGGAACTTGAGGATTTTAGAGAACAGTCTCATGACCTGGAGAAAGAACTTGAAGCCTCACTAGAACAAGCTGAAAAGAGGGCTCGGGACTTCAGAGTTCATTGTAATAAACTTCAATTGGAGAATGATACATTAAAGGTATTATTCATTTAATGAATACTTGTTAGAAATCCATTGCATGATTTAGACTGGCTGTGATTGTCATTTGCTGGGTATATTCTAATCGCTATTCAAGGCCCCAGATAAGCTGATTTGTATCTAGAACTTATCCAATAAATGACAATTGCAGCAAGTCTAAACTTCGCTCATGTTACGATATCAGATAGTATGTGTCTTACCTTCCTCGCTTCAATATTTCAGAACAAATTAGAACAGGTTACAAAAGAAAGTACAACACAAATTAATAGTCTTCAAGAAGAATTATCACAGTGCCGAAATCGTGAAGAAAAGTTTTTAAAATACATTAGAGAACTTGAACAGAAAAATGATGATCTTGAAAGAACTCAGAGGTACGTATTCTACAATCTTACTCTTACAATGCATTGGGTTTGCTTTCTTGGCATGCCTAATCAGCTCAATCCTCTGTGTTTTAGGGCAATGTATGTTTCTCTTGGAGAATTTGAAACAAAAATGAATCTAGCCATTGAGCGTAATGCTCTTTTAGAGTCTGAATTGGATGAGAAAGAGTCATTACAAGCTATGGTTCAACGACTCAAAGATGAAGCAAGAGGTAAATATACATTTTCTGAAAATGGAATCAATGAACCAATTGAGTGAAATCATTTATCTCGTTTTGGTTGTTATAGATATGAAGCAAGAAATTGTAATCCATAAACGTCAGGAAAAGAATGATAATGAAAAGTGCATTGTGGTTGAACGAAGAAGTTCGCCTGTTGACTCTAACAAATTGGTGACTGCTGAAATGGAAACACAAACCATTACATCTCCTTCACCCATAAAAAGTAAGCTCAATAATGTTTTTCGTAAATCCAAAGTTTTTTATTGTTTGCGACCGCCTACTTCGCCTAACTTCAACTTGCACCGACACGGATCTTCTTGAATGCCTGCTTTTTAAAGAGCATGTATTTCTGCTTATCCTGCATGCTACCTAGAATAGTTAAATAGTATCATTCATCCAGAACTGAAATTATAATATATTTTTTCCCCCAAACACTTTTGATTTCTAACTTCCAGACCTACCTTACTTTTTAATCAAAGAGTCTTGTAAAGTAAACTCCACTCATTTTTTGAATTGAAAGAATATCTCTTCATCAATCAGGCTTACCTATGTCCTCCTATTTATCCTTATCACTATTAAACATTCATTCATACAATGTACGGGTACTTAATCTTTTCATGGTTATAGCTTTTACACTTCGGCAAAACTTTTTTTTTTTTTCAAATGCATCATATGCCACTGTGAGAATGTTGTATTACAGTGATGATCATGTGTTAACCATTGTGATAATTTGTCTTGCTGGCATTTTACTGAAAGTATGCCTTTAATAGTACAGTGCCTTAATTTTGCTCTTCTTTCCAACTGCTTTTGTATGTCTTCAGTATTAGTTTGCATGCCAAAATTTTGCAAACCTGTTAGCTTAGTCTTAAAAATAAATTTTTATTTTTACATGACAATTGCATGCTACTTTTGCCCTCATTTAAAACACCGTTTTGTGACCACTATGTTTTGTCTCCACAGAGCACAAAGGTGTTGCGTGATTGTGGATAATAGCTGTGCTTTTTTTGCATCTGCCTATTATATGAATTATGTGGCTTCTTCACATAAACTGAACTTGATGTATAAAAGAACATTTCAGTACTACACATTTTAAACTAATTATTGTGTTCAATATTTGCTATCTATTAAATGCTTAGGCTCGACTTTTATGTAGATAGAGATTCAAATTTTACCTTGTAGGTAAAAGGTTTGCTTTATGCAATAAAAACTACTTTTGATTAGGTGCTGTTGTCTTATTATTTTGTAGTTCATTAGAAACCTCCAAAGCACTATTAAACTATGGGTAACTATGTACTGGTAATCATAACTGAGACTCTTAGATAACAAGACTTTCTTTGTGTAACTTTGATCATGTATTGCAATCTGAATTTGATTGCAATTTGGTCATAAAGATTCATCAAACCCTGAAATTAGTTGAAACAAATTTGAAGTACTTTATGAGTGTTTCTCTTTCAGCCATTGGACCAAACAACAATAATGCTCTGCCACCACCAACTAGAATATCAGCAATGAATATTGTTGGAGACCTCCTCAGAAAAGTTGGTGTAAGTAATCATTGCATGCAATATTCTAATTCAGGAAAACTCCCTCATGCTGCATAATTCAGGACAATGTCGTGGTTTTCAGTACTAAGCAGAAAGTACATCTTTTAGCACTGTACATAAAAATGCAAATTATCTTTATCCTGGTGACCAACATGCCCTGAAATGTGCTGTAGTTTCATTTTGATTTTTCTCAAGCTTCTTACATTTTTGTCCAATTTACACATCTATGATATCTTGAAGATTACATTTATAGTCGACTCACTTCTTAAAGGGATAGATTTTTTTCACTAGGTTCTCAATTATGAGCACTATGTTTGCCAGCTTTGTTTCTATATTAGTATTCTGCATACTACTGCTAATTCGTGAATTTTCCAAAGAGCCCAAATGATGGAAGTGAGAATACTTAGTCCCTTAAAACCCAATAAAGTGCTGTTTGTCATCCTTCAGAGAAACCTTACAATCTGTGATTATTGATAATTTGGATTCTAGAAGCTTCTTGAAGCATGACTTGTGTAATTTTCATCAGTGATTTAGAGTTTTCTACTCTTTGCTTTCTAAAGCTTCAATTTTTCTTTTGGTTTCATACAAATTACATAAAATTTAGGCCTTAGAACTGACCAAAGCCAGTGTGCAAATATTGGTATGCTTTCTGGGCAAAATCCTTAGATTTTTTTTTTGATACAGCATGATACTTGCTTTGTGTGTTTGTTTAGTTTCTATATTCCGTTCATTTGTTGCTCATTAAGATTACTGGCAACTACTATCAATATTTCGTATAAGTAATTTCACACTTGTTAAATTAAATTGATGATTTCACTTCCATACAATCATGTGTGGGGTATTGATTTCTCTCGTCTGTGACACCTTGCCAGAGTACATTTTTTAAAAGCCCATGTGTACCAAATGCAACAGTCTGACGTTCTAGCAGCCAGCAGTTCATGACAGGGCATATGGACTTTTCTACTTGAAATTTTATCTTTCTTTCTCTAGGGTCAGGTCGGGTAATAAATGCACACTTAAAAAGTGGGTAATAAATGCACACTGTATTTTAAAATATTTCCCTCTAGTTTGACGGAATCATCTATATACCAAATGAAAGGTCATAGTTTCTTCTACCTAAAGGAACAATTCGTTTTTAAGTAGGAAATGCCTGTCATGTTCAAAATAACCTGTAAATCAGACCTCAAAATCTAGCTCTTAAAACTTTCCCACCGCGAGGTAAAAAGTTCTACCAAAAGCTGATAAAAAGTCTTCCCTCGCGACGAACTCTATGTGCAAGTTACAGCTGAATGTCCCCCGAATCTAATGGTATAATCGGAATTTTCCAGTTGTAAGTCGTCTTTTAACTATAAGCGTTTGAATGAAACGTCTAATAAATGCACACCCCTGAGGGTAAAAAATGCACACCGTGCGGGGAATAAATGCACAGCCTGAAGCACCTCGGGTAGCGCGCGCCTAAAAGAAAAGAGACACTGTCGGTGGATTTGCGATATTATTGTCGAAGGTCCTGGCTACGGTTTCAACTTTTTCTGATTTTTAAAATATTTTTTCTTGATTTTTCTGATTTTTTCCGATTTTTTCCTGCCGATTTTGGAGAGAATTGGCGAAATCCGGCCAGAATCGGGCAAAATCGGGCAGAATCAGGCAAAATCGGCCAAAATCGAGCAAAATCGGCCAAAATCAGGATCTCTTCAAAATCGACGGGAAAAAATCGGAAAAAATCAGAAAAAATCAAGAAAAAATAAAAGAAAATAAGAAAAAATTGAAACAATAGACAGGACCTTGGGACCTTGTGCTCGCGATACGCACATGCAGAGCACATACCGATTTTTATGGGACCTCATTTGTATCAATAATTACGGATTCGTGCCAATTTTTACAGATTCTGACCGATTTTTAAGGATCTTTGCGGATTTTTGCCGGTTTTTACTAAATTTTACGGATTTTTACCGATTTTGACCAATTCTTACCGATTTTTACAAAAATCGGAGAAAATTGGAGAAAGTCGGAGAAAATCAGAGAAGCCCAAAATCAAAGCAGTCATCGCCTCGTGTACATATTTTACTCTTTGGAGGGTTAAAAGAGCGCTAAAAAGGACTGTGCAACTTTTACCCGCCGCTGTGCATTTATTAGCCACGCGGAGGGTAAAAAATGCACAGTGTTTTTCCCTTATTGTCGCTAAAGTATAGACTTTTTAGGCGAAATTACACTTCCAAATTGTGCTTTGACTGTTTCTTCACCTTTCTGAACATGCGACAACTTCACATGCACCATAGTATAGCTCTAAACGAGAAAGATTTGTTTTTGTGCATTTATTACCCGACCTGACCCTATAGCACATGCATTTCTTGTTTCTTTAAATTGTAATGACATTCTCCAAAGACAGTTTTGGCAGCACATTCAATGAGCAGCAAATGATGGGGCTATATTGTTTGTCTGCAGCTTGAGAAGTGGTTATGTCCCGGATGTAGCAGGGTCAAGTGTTGCTGTGCAGCAGTTGGCAACGTGGAACCAGAACGTCCATTCCCTCACCCTGACACTCTACCTCGACCTACAAGACCCAGCTTCTCTCCTCCCACATCACCTAAATTTCAGCCCCGACCTTTCTTTCAACAGCTCCGAAACAGTCTGTCTCTTAGTGCCTTCTCAGGGGCTGAGTCTTGTCTACCTCAGAATCCATGACTTAACTATCAAACCTACCCTCCTCTTGTACAGTCATTTTAAAGTATGTTATGTATTTCATTTATCATGTGAAATTGAAATGTGGCCTCATGCTTCATTTCGCAACTAATTTCAATCTTGCCAATGTACGTGCCATTTCTCAAAATATTAAAGTAATAATATTTCTTGTGAAAATAAAAAATAAATAATGTACTTCTTTAATGACTGTATGAATGTTCAACCCTAGTCATAAACCTTTAGATCGCTCTGGTTGGTCTTCAGTTGAATCATCTGCACATCTGCCAACCCTCAGGTCCGTTCTTTTTTTATTTTGCCTTTTTGTTTTGGGAATATGTGATGGCTATACCTTTCTGTTTGCCTATCATGACCTGGTGGGCAGCACCAGCTTCACTCCCAAGCTTGCATCTTGGTTCGCTTCTCTTCCTCTATCACTGTCATGTTTTAATTACACAGTTTCTATATTTTATATATCTTTTTCCCTATTGTGTGTGACTTTATGTCATCTCTCTTTCCCAATAGTGTATTGATTATTCTTGCATTTGGGTAAATACTTCTTTGCTGTACAGAAAAAATGCTAGTGTTCTGGCTGACAGCTTTTGTCTCATTAACTGCTTTGGGCAATTGATAATTATCAGAATTCAATATCCTTTGTCCACCATCTTTTTAAATACTTCAAGGTGTTGGGAAACTTTTCCCCTGTTGTGTTGTATCCCTCCTCCCATCTCTTTTAACTACTTTCCTCATCATTCAATTGCACATTCTTCAGTTGGTGATGTCAAGCTTACTGTATTGCCCAAGTTTAATTAAACTTTAATAAACAGATGAATGCCCACTTGAGAGTCTCTGTATTCCTATAAATGTTAAAATGCTGTGCATCTGTAAGCATCATAACTGCCTGCTCATTTTTATTGACCCTGTTGCTTCTTATGAAAACCCGTATAGTTTTATGTAAGCTGTATGCCAAATCCAGACATGACCATATTAATATTAACAACCATGGATATGTTATGTTGCAGGCTTTGGAGTCCAAAATAGCATCTTGTCGCAATCCATACAGAGAAAGTCCCTTAACTACTGAAAATGGTAATGAAACGTTCCATGAATACCCCAGGCACAACACATTCTCGTAAGTTATAATTCTGGTTTTCTGAGGATGATTTTGTTACTTGTAATGCTTTATTCAGATTTTTCTGATGTCAGTTCTTGTTTCCTTCTCTGTAGGGGCCGGAGACTTAATCGTGGAACTTCAACACCAACAATTCAGAACTATATCCGATCATAAAACGTACTTAAGGTGATACACACTTATTTAAGTGGTTCTATTTTGTGACAAATTTAATATAAATGTATAGTTTCCCTGCAAAGTCTTCTGTACTTTTCTTTTTTTCAATGGTTTTTTTTTTTTTTTTTGTAATTATTTTGTTTGTTAATTTTTGAGGTGTACCAATAGGCCTGTAATGCACAACACACATTTCGTTGCTGGTACCTCCCTAGCATTGTAGCCTGAGCATCCTTTTATTTGTTGTTTTATATTTGTATAATATTGTACATAATAACGCAGGTAAATTTTGCCAATATTATTGTTTTTATGTCTTACATTTGACACTGTCGTTGTTCTATAGGATCAATCAACTTTTTATTATTTATTTCTTGTTTTCTCATACCAAAAGTTTAATTTATGTGAAGGCTAGTGTGTGGATCATAAGGTAGTTTTAGAATAGGAATAATGAATTAATGTATTTAAGACGTACTCAGACCTTCCCTAGTTAATCAATTTTATGCATTGAAAATACTAATGCCAGTTTGTACAATATACTTCATACTTGAATTCTAATTCCAATGAAGCAACCATTAAATATCAAAGCAAACCCTTGTTTTGATACCTGTTAAGATGTCTTAACATTCAACACTGCTGCTTCATCTTCAATTCAAAGATGTAATTTTTCAAACTACCACATCACTTTTTGTGTTCTACCTGAACAATTTTTTTTCCTTCAAAATCATTTCTGTTAATGTCTGTTTTGTTTCCTCCCAAAGAGAACTGAATCTTGTGGCAGTCATATTGACATTATATTGAACAAAATTTGTGTTGAACTGACATCAAAGTGGCCTCCCCATGACTTTCTGTTCACTCCAGGTTGATGTCACTGCATCATTTTTTTTAAAGATGGCCAGAATCTCTTGGCATTTCCAGTTGTAATCTTTGTGATATTGGTGATAAAACAAAGAATTAATTATGTTCAAAATGTACTGTGGTTGAAGATGTTCTTAGCTATGACCACTTTGGTTCAAGATTCTGTTTAAAAATGTGTTTTATTCTTTCTTTCTTTTTTGTCTGACCTATTTAGGACTTCTCCCCTCATTTGCTCTAAATGCTTTTCACATGTCACTATTCAACTACAGTACTTTTGTTTTTTTCTTACTGAAGTAGACCTTTAGCTTAGTTGTGTTAAGTATTTTTATTGGTGTATAGTCTGATTATGCCTGGATTTAGTTGTTATTGCTATTTTAATTTCACTCTGTCACATACCTTATGTGCCATAAGCCATGGCATTTTTCCAGGCACAGTGTTGGTTATTTCTTTTTTTCTGTTTTAGAGGTCAGTTTAAAGTGTTGCTCATGTGCCCATTAATATAGACAATAGCCCTTTAAATTTTGTAAACATTTACCATGCTGACAGCAGTATTCTTGAAAAGTTTTCAAACAATTGCAGAATTTGTTGTTTAACAGTACTTACAAAAGTTAATTATTTATGTTTTTTTATACATTAGGATTTTGGAAAATAATATCAATCTAATGCTTGATTTACTGGTTTTTCTATGGCACTATGAAGATTAGAGCCAGAAGAAAAGGTTTGTTAACCAATTTTATCCACAATGGCACTGTAAATGCTTTTCATCTATTTTCCAGTCATCTTATTGTAATGCTTCAAGAGGTTGATTAGTAAATTTTCCGATTTACCACTAATAATTTGACCACACCAAAGAATTGTTCTGTTGGAAATGGGGAATGCATTAGAAATAAACAAGTGAGAGACTTCAATCTTTTAGCAATCCCGTTCATTTCGCTTCCGTCTCGCCCCGTATAGCTATATGGTTTTACACTCTGCTCAGAATGACGCCATTAGAGGTCTGCCTTGGCGATAGCCGGTGTCTAAGGCAACTCGCAAATTGGCTGACCGTCGTCCTGGCCTCCTTCGGTACTCGAACCCACGACACCCTAGGATCCTCGCCGGAAAGAACTCGCTCCACGACGAGCTGCAGACTTCCGCTGTTACTCTGGAAGATCTGCCTGATTAGTTGGACGCTCTCGTCCGGCTGCGTCCTGGACATTCTCACGAGCCGCTTCCAACGCTCCTCCAGCACGTCTCCCGCAGGGTACCGCTGACCGGCGTCCAGACTGGCCTGGAACGAACGTGCTGCGTTTGGCCCTTATTTTGTGTCTCTATCTCGTTTCTGTGTTCTGTGAAGTTTCGTGCGATACCTTTATTGCCACGATCTCCGGGTCAGCGTCTCCGTTGTCAGAGGGGATCTCTGCGAGGGCTATTTCGAGTTCACGCTCCAAAAAGTCGCGGCCAGCTGTTACGGCCAGGTTCGCTACATGCTCCGCTTCGGGCCCTGCCCGCCGGAGAGCCTCGACGAACCGCGACCTTGTAATCCCCAAAGCAGTGGGTTCAATTCAGTTTAAGGAGAGGGCGGGCGGGATCAACCCCGAGCTCGTCCGGTCTCAGATGAGACCTGGACACCCCCGGCACTTATCGCCTCGCCCTTTAATCGGGCGTACCCCAAGGAGGACGGGGAAGTCATCTCGGTGTCAATGACTCCAAAATGACTTCATGCTGACCAAGCTGTTCTCCTTGGGACCGCCCCCTGGTTCGATGCGAAGGTGCACTTAAGGCAACCCCAGAAGCAACTCAATGCAGTACGCGTACATTGACACATTGGTGCCGCTTTCAGTGCCACAAATGTGTCATCTGTTATATGTGCATGTTTACGCGCGTTGCCCGCTGTTCATGAGCATTTGAGTGCACATTGGCGCTACCGGGGAAGGTCTGTCCTGACCTGCACGACATGAGGAAGAGGTTGAGCTTGCGAAATTCCTCCTCCGCGGCGAGTCGCGCCTGCGCTGGCCAGGGTGCCAAGCCTGGTCCCATCCCCCTCTCAGCCTCTAACTGATCCGGGATGCTGGTCTCCTCGTCGCTGGTCAGCATGGAGCGGCCGCTGTCGCTGCGGCCCTGGCGCTTTGCGATGCCCGGGGCGGCTGTCTATGCGGGGTAAATTTGAAACAAGATGTCCGGTCGTCTTGTGCTGACTCATTATTGCATTCAAACGGGTGCGAAATGAAGAAGTTCTCGCAAAATCAGAGCTCACCGCTAGCAGAATCAAGACTGTTGAGAAGACCGTGTTCATCCTGAATTACTACTTGACTGACATAACTGGCTTGATGCACCACCTGCCTGCAGGGGGAAGGTCCCAGCTGATCAAACGGTGCCGTCTAGGGATCGTCCAGAAAGTACGTGCGTTTTTCACAGGTTCATTCGGCAAATTATGAGAGCTTGGCGCCTGCGAGACTCTGGGTAGGCCACTCCGCAGTACGCGCATGCACTGCAGGCGAGATGTTGCCTACCTACCAGGCGTCCGGAGCAACTTGTAGAGGCTGGACTTGGAAGGTTAGTAACGGTAAATGGCGGACGTACTTTCTGGATGATCCCCTAGCCAGACACATGCCATTTTACCTTGGGAGGAGTAGGGTGGAGTGGCGGAGCGTTGAGCTCGTGGAGCGGCCGCGCGTGGTTTGGTAGGCAACGTGCTGTACATTGATGATGATGCCCAGCCCGACAGGGGGGTCTTGCATTCTTGGTGTGCACAAATAAAGCAATGAAATTCATTTTAAGAGACTTTATTTGAAGCAGCTAGCAATTAGTGAGGTACACAAGACTTTTAAAATGATAACTATTGTAACATGGCTTTACAATATAACAACAAAGCAACAAGTGCAATGTTCGAGATGATGGCAAAGATTTCAAGCTGTAGTGAAACCAAATGCAAACAGAAAATAAATAAATAAATAAATAAATAGGGCAAAAAAAAAAACAATACTGATCGATCTGTCACAGTGCAACACTTATAAACAATTTGTTCATTATAACTAAACACCCTCAAGGATGTTGCTTTCATTACTAGACAAATGGAACTCAAGTTAATAATGTCAACAACAATTTCTAAAAACAAAAATATCTTTGGAGTTTATAAGTTGTGGGTAAAAGTTATTTACCTTTCTAAACTTTACAGACCTTTTAATGAATGTCAATCTTCTGCTATAGGACTGTGCATGTTTAGCTTTTAAAGATTGAAAAAGATAAACTGAATCAGGCAGTGACACCTGGTCCCGAATAAAATTTCACAGGAAATAAATAATGTGAAAATTATCTTATGCAAAAGCCACTATGGAGGTAAAAGTATATCACAAAAACAATTGATTTTCCCCTAATAAATACAACAAAATAAATATTTGATAAACACTTCTATTTTTATTCCCTCTGTTCAGAATAAGTCCTCTAAAATAAAATAGAATGCTGAGATGGTCTTTGAGGAATGAGGTATTTTTAGTAAATCACAGTTCATCTGGTTTTGCCATTAGAACAACAAAAAGATGGAGAAAAGTGACATCTCCATAAACTCATTGGAAATAATGACAAAGGTAACTTTGTTAAGAATGAATGTCTACTAATGAAAGACAGTTTGCAGCATCTTACCTGAATTCAGGATGATTTAGAAATGGGAGGAATAGCGACATTGAAGCACTATACACTGAAAATGCAGAGCTTACACTAACGTCAATAAATACATTTAGAATTCTGTTCCGAGTACAGAAAAGTAAAGTAAACTGTTAAAGTGCTACCAATAAGCAAAGCAACCCACAGCCCATCATTATCACATCGCATTGCACCCCCTACAAAAAAAAAAAAAAATATATAAAAAAAAATTAAAAACAAACTTACAGGAATGTCTCCAAAATATGTCCCATTAGCCCCTTTTCAGTAACAGTGAAAAATACTGGGCACAAAATTGTGTGCCTGATGTTTTAGTGAAAGAGAAACACATTTCTAAAATCACACAGAAAATGTCATACAACTACAATTTACACTTTAAAAAATCTTTGGCAAGATCATTTTTCTTCACATTGACTCAGTAAAGTTGCTTGTCCATCTCTGTTGATGGAAATAGTGCAAGGTCTTTGTAGCCAGGGTTCACCATCAACCTGAACAGGCAAACTGTCTTTGAAACGAATGGTCAGGTTGCTTGCTTGTCCAATATGGTGAGGGGTAGATAGTCCAACTTGTAGTTGAGCCATATGGAAGCTAGAGTAAAGGGCTAGAACCTCCAATTTTCCATCACAAATACTTTGCTCTCCTACTTCATCTGAAACAAAAACTAGAGGGGTTAGCTAAATGTTCAGAATTACGTCAGCTCACACAACAATGATTGAACTACATAGAGATTAGATTATTTCATCTTCCATTATACCTGGATTCAACATATCCCATAAACGACAGCCCGCTCCCCACGATGGGATATTCAGAATCACAATGGATTCAATTTCTGGCAGTTCTATCCGTTTGCCATCCATAAATAATTCTAATCTCTCCTCCAGATTTCGGCATCCCTTCTCTATCACTTGTTGAGTACCAAACAACAAATAGAGCATCTGCCAGAAAGGTAGGTAGATTAGATATTTTCATAGTAGGTAAAAAGGATTCAACAATATATAAAATAATAATAATAATAAAAAACAACAATGAAGGATTTTAAAATATACTTTCATTTTACCTTGTTGAAAATTCGACTGCTGATAATGTAGAATGCAGATTCTCTTGTTCTGTGGAAATCAAGAGTCACTTGGGCATCAACACCAACACTCATGTAATTATACATCAACCGCTTCTTGATCCGACCAAGGTGACTAAGGTGATTTGCCCATTTTGTAGCCACTTCCCATCTACATATTAAAACATTATTATTTTTTTTTATAGAAACAGCTGTCTTTACTTCAAAATATAATGTTGGTACATTCTTTCTACCATACCTATCTAACTTCACAATTTGTGCCTCCATAACTTTTTTCATTACTTCTTCTGGCTGCAATTCAGGACAGAATTCCTTGCCCCATCCCAGCACTCTTGACAAATCATTTCCTGTTCCAAGGGGGATAACAGCAACCGGTGGAGCAGGCTGAAACAAATTTTATAACTTTTCTAAATTTTACTGGTTTTGCAGACTTTTTATAACATTTAAATGAAAGTACCACCTCAATATGAAGACTGAAAACTGCATTCAGAACCCAGCCAACGGTCCCATCACCTCCAGCTACAAGAATAATTGGTTTTGCTCCAGCTTGTTGTAAAAATTGGCACCACTCGAGGGCAACCTCAGGGGGTCTCTCTGCAAGGTCGACACACTGTGCAGGATTTAAAACTCGACGGAATGTAGCGAGAACTTGAGCACCATCATTGCTCCCTGATCGACAATTAGCTGAAAAATATGATAAATAGCATTACTCCTTCTAACAACTGTATTATCATCAAATATTCCAAAGTTTAATTTACCCATCACTATAAGAGGTGTCCACTGCAACCATCCCGAAGACTTCACTGTGCGAAGGCGTAGTTTCCTTCTGATGCTGCTGCGTCGAGTTTCTACTTCAATACAGTTGGGTGGTACAATTAAACTTCTAAACCGCCCAAAGTCACACACCTTTAATAGACAAACTGACATTAGGATCTCATACATGGAATTTTCAGCCATTGAAAATTTGGTGAAATTACTACCCACATCGCCTAAGCTTGGTAGACAAGATGAATGGACACTCCGATGACACCAGCAACATGAAAAGTCAATAAGACCACACCCCCCACCTGCTTCTTCTTCGCATACATCACACACAGCTCCCAGGCACAGGTTTCCTTCAAATTTAAAGAACCATTAAGACATTAAGACTGAAATATTATACAAATGTGATGTAAAATTTGATTTTGAGAAAACTTACCTTTGATCCAATGGTGCTTAAACGGGCTATTGTCATTGCAATGAACTACTTTACATTTTAAAGAGCGGTCAGCTATTGTAACACAGCTGACGTGAGCACTCACACCGCAGCAGTCACAAAAAACCCCTTCACCTTGGGCTAGCAAAACTTCACAGATATTGCAATAACTGACCTACAATCAATTAAATAAAAATGTTAAAAATTATGGACTTTACCCAACAGAAAGTTTTAAAAAAATGATTACTGTCCTACCCTGTTCAACATTGAAGTAGTTTGCCAATTGTGTCTCTTTGAAGCATCTCTGATGGGGACATGATCATCTCGAGTGAGGAAGCGTACCAGGCTTACACTAAGGGTAAATGCTATTATAACACCTGACACTTGAAACACAATTGAACTGGCACCAGCATCCCACATAACAATGAGAGGCCACATTTTATAGGCCTGCTTCACACGGTTACTTCAGACATCAGATACAACAGCGACGGTGCAATTCAACCATTTTGAGACAAGACGCTCAGAAGTCAATTTCAACAAGACATAAGGGAAAGAATTTGTCATTCAATTTGTTTGCAAATCACGCGTACTCTTTAACCAAAGCATGATATGTCAGCTGCTGTCAGTTTGCTCTCTGGTTTCTTCTGCTTCAATGCAGACGCCTTATGTTATGTTTTATTTGGTATTTTGATCCGCTTTGTAGCCAACTCCGAAAAGCTAAAAGTAACTGTAGAGAGACTTAAATTCAAAAATGGTTTCGGTTCCCAAAATTAGAATAATTTGAAAATAAAGCTACTATACTGTTACTTTTTAATATTTTTCTGGGTTCTTATTATTGTGTTTATTTTGTCTGAGATAGGTAGGCTGGCAACATCGTCGTGTATGGTTGCCAGCAGTTCTCATGCTTGTCAGTTGTCAGTTGTAGTGTTGTAGTTGTCAGCACAGCACACATTCATTCTTGTTGGGCGTTATTCCTTGCTTCGCTAGACAACGTCAGATATTGAAACGTTGATTTGTCAGGAGTCAATTTTCTTACGACCAGTAATGCAGTGGTAGTGCAGAACAGTTAAATATAGCAGATTTTTAATGGTGGACTTTTAATAGTGATGTCATAAACTTCATCATGGGACATCAACTGTACAACTTCCCCGTTATTTCTTTGAACCTTCGTCAAGAAGAAACTGTCCATCAAATTGCGGATGCTCTAGATTATCTGAACGACGTTGTCAATGACATTTTTGGACGCATTGACAGCCGGATCTCAGAAAACAGAATCAAGCTTCAACAGCTTAACAGGAGAACTTCTGTGGCAAAAGCCAAAATAGATAAGTTAACTGGCAGCAATAAAGCTACAAAGGTTTTCTCCAGTGCTAAGTACCCAGCTAGTGATATTCGAAAGGATTATCAGAGTGTCTTCAGCCCTCCCGAAACAACTGAATTTAAACGGTGCTCTACAGATTTAAAAACAAAACAGGAACCTGTTGATGGAAAAGTTCCCCAAGAAAAGCTGCAGTTCTATCATGTGAAAGTAGGATCTCGAATGCGTCGTAATTTAGAGGTTGCTGTTGAGGAAGGACTAGGAAGTCTTCCTCCTGACATAGACTCAGTTTCATCCTTATTGTTGTTTAACACGTCTGAAAATCCTTATAAACGATATGTTCTCCTTGATCCCCTTGGAGCAATCACGAAGACACGTCAGGCTTTAGAGGAGGAAGGTGGGAATGCACATGTCATGGATGATGCACCCATATCCATTGCTCATCAAGAACGTCTGGAGACAAGAGCTGGTGAAAATTTCTTCTATTCTCCTGGTATGGGTGATGTGCCTGACATTGATGTTCCATTAGATCTTCCTGACTTGCCTGGAATAGCTGATGACTTAAGATATAGCATGGACTCTGGACCTACCATTGCTCCCTCTGTTACTACTACACCTGCTATCCCTGAGCTCCCAAGTCTTGTTCCTGAAAGTCCTGCTACACCCACTTGCACAAATGTAAACGGTAGTGCAACTGTACCAGATTTCAACGGATCTTTACCATCAATGGATACTGACTCTATTCCACCACCTCCACCCCCATCAGCTCAGCCACCTAAACTTCAACACATGCCTCCTCCACCTCCACCTCCTCCTCCGCCTCCACCTCCTCCAGCACCTGAATCTTCAACTTCAGATGCTGTTAAATCAGTTGAAAAACCTACTCCAGCTACTTCATCAGTTCCTGCAACTGCTGTTGATTCCCGGGCAACACTTATGGATGCTATCCGCAAAGCAGGTGGGTCTGTAAATGCCAGACTGCGCTCAGTTGAAGATCGAAAAGTTGAAGCTAAAAGAAAGAAGCAAGAAGAGAAAGCACAGGGAGGAGGTGACCTAATGGCAGACCTGCATGCCAAATTAAACATGAGAAGGAAAGGAATAGCCGGTGCCAATAAGCTTCCAGAGGGATCTGCCATGGACAAAGTTTCTGCAATGATACCTCCACCTCCAGTTAAGGAGAGAGCAGCTTCCACCTCTGCGACAGAAGAGGATGATGACTGGGAATAGAACAAATAAGTAGTAATATCCAATGTCTTTTCCATTTATTTTCTAGTTATATTTTTAAGTTGTAACTTACAATTATAATACTATTTTTTTTACATAAAATAAATAAGTAATCTTCTCACAATGTTGCTTGAAAAATACTGAGGAGTCTTTCTTTATTAAATTTTTTACCCAATTTTATGTAATAAAGATTGTAAAAATTCAAAATTTGTACATCATAGCTTTGTTCCCTAGTCACGAAAGTATTACTTGTCATAGTATTTTGTGAAGAAATCATCCAAGATCGGAGCTACAATTTCAGGGTGCTCGAGGTGAAAATCATGACCTCCGCATGTATACCTTAAATCAGATGTCTTAGCAACTCTTTTTATAATAGACCAGCATTCATCAAAGAATTCTTTTTTTGTAAAATATGAAGATGACTCTGCTTTTATACATAAGACATTGGTTTTTATCTCTTCACAAAACTTGAAAATGTCGCGCTCAGCCCACCCAGCTAACGGAAGTCCTTTTAATTTTGGGTCTCTTGTCCACCGGAACTTGCCATTATCACATTTCATAGCACCTCTCTCTACTAATACCTTCGCAGCTACTTCAGATACAGGAGAAATAGGTGATTTTTTAATCATATCAACAAGTTCTTCATAAGTGTGGGTTGGAGCAGTATCATGTTTCTGCATATCCCACTTCAGAAATTCATCAATACCCTTACCTCCACTTTGCACAAATCTTGATGCATTTAGAGGTATGGGTGCTAAAATGTCTAACATTGCTAAAGAATCAACTTGCTCAGGGAATATGGTTGAATATAGCAAACACGTCTGTCCCCCTAAGGAATGTCCCATCAATGAAACTTTCTGCCAGCCAAAGTGTTCCACAGTTAGTTTCATGGCCATGACAGCTGTCATGCGATGATATGGAAATCCCTCAGGAAAATAAGAAGAATGCCCATGGCCTGGTAGGTCTACCGCTAACACAGGTATCTTAGAGGACATCAGAGGCACAACACGGTCAAATGAATTAGCATTGTCTTGCCAGCCATGAACTGCAAGAATAGGTCTCTGTCCATCTTTATTCCACCACTTTCCTGAAAAATTCAAGTTGATCAGAAAGAAGAAACACAGCCATTAAATTAGAACAACATGAAAGTTACTTACCTGCAATGTGGCCCCAAGGTACAGGTATCTTCACCTCTGTATGAGACCATCTCATTACGTTATTCCTAGGCACCGCTGAGGTGGATGAGGTAAACAGTTTATGACTCGAGCGAAACATCGGTGCGCGAGTAGAGAACAGCAGTCGAAATAGGCGAGTCTATGGAAGACAGGAACGTTTTTTATTTAGTATGCGAACTAGAGAGATTAGAGGATTGCGTCATTTTTGTTCTGTCTGCTGATCATGTCCATAGTTCAATTCCTTTCAACGCGCAATCCTTAAACAAACCGGAGAGCAAGGTTATTTCCCCCACCATCCATCCTGCCGTCTGCTAGTGTCTGCTAGAATATTTGCAGTACAGCTGTATACAATTACTTCTCCACTATTCAAACTCACACACAAGTTTATCTGTGGTGGCGGTGGCGCCAAACCCGGCTGCATGTTTTGAATTCTTCTCATGCGTCTCAAATTCATGTTTATCGTTATTTTTTTTTCCAGATTGAGAAATATTTCTTGTTTGATATTTGCTGGGATGTGAAGTGAATAACTTACCATAACTGCATTGAGTAAAGGGCTGTGCTATTCGCTGATTCATGCTTTTCCAAAGCAACCGTCTGCTTTCGTGGAATTGGGTGGAATGTTGTGTGCCCGTAGAGGTTATCGTGCCTCGAAAGTGCCCGTGTTTATAGGTCATACTAGAAATTGAATGTTTCTTTACACTCAGATGTATTCGATTTCCCTTTTCCTCTGTGTTTATTTTCCATTTTTCTATTACTTTAACAATGTTATTAGATATAACTGTGAATGATTTGTGTTTGCTCTCCTTTATGGACACTTTGTGGTGTAGGATATTAGTTCTTTTCGACGTGTTAGCTATCGCTAATTAAACTTTTTATCATAATTTGTCGAAATATATTGGACTATTACCCATAACCTTTTACCCAGAACATGTTAACTATTGTCCTGTTGCTCTTGTGATGTTATTTATTACGCTATCTGTCCTTTGTGTCAGTCTTGAGAGATGCTATGAGGGTACTTTTTTCCCTGACAAGACCCTTCTAACATCATCATATCTGACTTAAATTCTTTTATTTTGTTCATGATTTTGATTAAATCTGTAATGTGGGGAGCAGGGAAATCATAGAGTATAAATAGTTCTAATAACGAAATCACAATTTTCTGTTCCAGGCATATAAGTGAACCCAGAAGATCATCATCACTTCTGTGCCAAAATAGTTTTAGGTTTTGCTATATGTACTGCATGATGTAGATTCATATGGGTGCTGCATGCCATAGTGACTGAATGAAAAGTGTTGTGACTGAAGCTAGAAACTTATGCATCAATAGAAGCAACCGTATGAATTGTGTTACTAACAGTGGTATACATCTCTTCTATAGGTATTACCCTGAATGGTACAATCTCCGAACTAAACCGTCACGCCATATGGCTGAGAAACCCTGCATCACCAGCCAGCAAGCTGACCCAGAAGGGTAGCAATTACCAAGATGAGTCGGAGGTGGAATTTCTAGAGGATGTTGATGAGGCGTGCGACTCAGATGACCCATTATTAGATGGTAAGGCTGGTAAAGGAATCAAAAAGATGTTCACCTCACCTTTTAATATTTTTACAGTACTTGCAACATCCTTTCACCTTGATTCTAGGGCACTTGTGCGTGAAGCGCGAGTGCATCAGCCCCACCCCTGGCGAGCTGGGAGGCCCGCCACGTGATGTCAAGCCCAACGTGGCCGAGCTCGGAGCACTCGCGAGGCGAGGAGAGGGAGGCGTCGCAACGGCGCACGACCTCGATGAGGTGGGCGTATTGCATGTATTCCATCCCGGGCCAACACGTTTCGAACACTTCATTCTTGACGTCGTTCAATCTCATCTCAGGTGGACCAACCAGTGGGGTCGGCGGCGGTGGATGATTTTTCGGCATCCCTGGCGCCTCAAACCATGATGCTGATCACCAGGGCGCCCGACCAGACCGAGGACGAGGAGAGCGAGCTTGATGTCGACGGCGATGACTCGGCGAAGAGCCCCGCCAACAGGTGCGAGTTCTGCGGCTCGGTGTTCTCCAGGGCCGTGCAGCGACTGAGCCATAAGTGCACCAGCACCTTCACGTAAGTGTGTGGGGAAGTCCCTTATAGTCTTCAGCTTGGTACTTTCCCGCGCCATGCGGTGTCTGACGGGCACGCGCCCTCCCCCTCTGTGCGTTGCAGGTGCTCGTACTGTGCGTGGAGGGGCTCTTCGCAAAGCGAGCTCCAGGCGCACGAGCTGCAGCTGCACCAAGCCAAGAAGCCGCACGTCTGCCCCGAGTGCAGTGCCCGCTGGGTCTCGGCCGCGGCGCTGACCCGCCACATGTCGGTGCACGCGAAGGGTAAGACCACGTGCGCGTGCGACGGCTGTGGCGCCAACTTCACGACGGTCCTCTCCCTCAGGCGGCACGGGCGGGACTGCCCCGGGATGCGCGCCGGATGTGAACGGGACGTGAAGCCCGCCGTGCTCAAGAACAAGCCGCCGCGGTACTTGTGCAAGGTCTGCTGCGCCACGTTCATCTGCAAGAAGAGCGTCCTTCGCCACGCGCAAACGGCTCACACCCTCAAGTTTCCCCACAAGTGCTCGATTTGTGTGGCGTCGTTCAAGTCAAAGATGGCGCTCACAAAGCACGTGAAAGTCCACAGGTATGTCATTCCACTCACTTCTTCAACTTATGTACGGGTGAAGTGAACTCGGCCAGTGTCGACTTTACCCAGCCAAAGTCAACATTTACCCCCGGGCCGCGGCTAAAAGTCGCCCGAGGGCCGGAAGGGACTGTTGTACGCCAAACGTTACCTTACCCCTTCCTTACTACCCGAGCAAGCAGCCCACACCTGCACTTGGGCGTGCTCAGGGTGGGCCACCATCCCCACACGGCTGCCTGGCGGGCAGGCCTACCCAGCCCACTGCAGGCGCTACCAATGGCACCGCCTTCGTCTCAGGAAATGTCCTTTGGGGAGGGGGAGGGGGGGCATGTCATACATCGTGCAGTGTTCAATCCGGAACAGGCGCTGGTACTTCCCCGCTGAAAGCGTGCGCTCAGAGAACGCCAACGCATCTCCCCCTTTCCCTTAGTAGCGCGGGTAACGTTGACTGTAACCGGGTAAAGTCGACTTTTAGCCGACGTTCACCGTGACCCATGTCCATACTACTGCTCGTCTAACGCGAATGATTTTCCCACAACAGCCTGAAACGCCCTTTCTCGTGCTCTGAATGTGGGCTGGCCTTTTCTATGCGCCCTGAGCTGCTGCAGCATCTCAAGTTGCACATGTCCGTGTCGTCAGGCAGGAAGGGGGGGCCTCCCTTGGTGCACGCCATCAAGAAGGAGCTGGGCGTCGCCGACGAAGAGTTACGGCGCTCGACCAGAAGCATCGCCCCAGACATTGTCCTAGGGGATGTTAAAGTCCACCTCACACGGCTGCTCGTGGACAGCAAAGCTGGATTAACGTCTCAACTTATTTAATATTTCTTCATTTGTCTTTCTCTTTTGCATGGTTTTATAGTTTCTTCGAAGTTGTATGGTCGCGGATTGTTGTTATTTTGAATCCTTTTTTTCTTTTCTTTTTGAGTTGCAGCTTTTATTATTCTGTATCATGTAAATTGACTTGAGCTAAAAAGCTTCTAGTGTGATACTATATTAGATTAAACCCATTATGTAAAGATAGCAAGATCTAATGAGGAAAAAGACTAAGGAAATTTTCATTATCTTTTCTTCTTATTGGACCTTGACCAGTGATTTCTCCAATTAAGATTTTTTTCATTATTATCATGTGTGAGGAGTTCGTATGATTATCGAAGCTATTGTATTAAGTTTGCTTCAGTAAGATAACATGTACTCTCTTTTATAATATTCATAGTGTTATTTTTTTAAATTTCTATCATTTTATTGGATTATAATAAAGAAATTTTGCTTAAATCTATTTCTGTAGTTTCCTTTTTCCGCATCTGAAGAAATGGTCAAACAATGGCATGCGCTCTTGTATGAAAAGCGCGCGCTAGTTGGTTCGATTCTCGAAGAGACCTTGAACTCGAATCAACGGACGAGGACGAGCGCGAGAAGGCTTAGGGAAAAAAATGGAGGCTTCAATGTCATTTTTAACCCGGCCGAGATAGAATTTTGTTTGTTTACTTGAAAAATCTGTGAATCTTGGGACTACTATCAGTTCCATGACTCCATATCAGGAATTCTCGTGAGTAATATTGTCAGAAGTGTTACGGAAAACATTAGTGTGTCTGGAACCAAACTTGAAACCTTGATGGGTGCAGCGCTGTTTGTGAGGCGTAGGCTTAAGTCTTGTTAACGGTTTTTCCTATGTTTTCCCACGGTCAAGACAAATTTCATTTATTTTGTCTGTGACAGTCGTCAAAGTTGGTCAAATACATCACTTAGATATGGGTCTGCAATCTGCCTCCTCTATTTTTGTTAATTTTCTCTTCCTCTTAGAGGTTAATTCCGTTTTTCAACTTATCTACTCAAATCTTGTAGATAGTTCCTCTTCCTTCTTGTATTGCCTTCGTATAGTTATCAGTTTATCGAACAGTCCTACTTAATTCTTATTTTTGTTCAATGTTTGCTCTAATTGTTTTCTTAGCCTGTGAATGTTTTTGGGTTAATGTTGCATTTATGTAGCCAATGTAATATTGTTCTTCTCCCTTTCTTATTCCTTAAAATGTACTAAATCTTTTTTCTTTATCAGGTGCAGAGAAGATGACAATTATTTCAGACAAAACCTCTGCTTCTGAAACTAACGGTCCTCCCCCTAGGAAAAAGATTTGTCTCTCATTGTCTGGAAAAGGGAAGACAAAACCGTCTGTTACTGTTGCGGAGGCAGATTCACCCTCTGAGATGAGTGTGACAGTGAATAGAGGCGACTTAAATAAGAGAAGAGTCGTCCGTGTGAGAAAAGATGCTCTAGAACCAGGTATTTATTGTGGCTCAGTTATCCTTAAGATTGTTCTCAACTGAACTCTATCTGCACATTCTACTAATTTTTTATATCCTGCAAAATTAATGAATTTTCAATTTATTTTATTTTTTAATTTTTCAGGCATGATGCTGAATGGGTTTGTTCCAGATTCTGTGAACTCAATTGCTGCAAGTGATGACAGCCCTGGTAGTGATGTTCCACCTGTTGCAACCATCTGCAATTTGGGGAACACATGTTTTTTGAACAGTATTTTGTACACACTTCGTTTTGCACCTTATTTCTTACACAAACTTCACCATCTTGTCAACGATCTTGCAGATGTGGCTGCACGAAATAATGCTAAAGTGAGTTCCTCCCAGCATCATGCAAACATTTGTTAAATACTTGCTTTACCATCACTTACGGAAGTTGCATTTTTCAGGTGAAATCCTCATCATTAGGGAGAAGCATAGGCCTAAGCCGGAAGTATTATTGGGACATGGAACAAATGAGAGCATCTGGTGAAAACTGTGCTAAAAAAAGGGTTCAGATTGTGACTGAAAAACTTCATGAGGTATATGAGTCACTTCATAGCGCTGAACTGAAAGAAAGCACTGAACCTTTTCAGCCTGAAATATTTTTACGTGCTCTTAGGTAATTTAGCTTATATTCCTCTCACTGATTCAACTAGACTACTAGACAAACTAATTCCAACACGTTGTTTGCGACATAGCACACACTGTGTGGCCGTATAACATTAGAATGCCAACCCCTGCTGCACCAAACCAGCCAATAATTCTTTTAATTTTTTTTTCTAGAGAGGTGAATCCTATTTTTGAAGGAAACCAACAACATGATGCTCATGAACTGCTTGGCTGCCTTTTGAATTATATGCGTGAAACTTGCCAGGAACTTACCAAACAGTTAGAGACTCATCCTAATCCAGGTACTGTATTTCTTAAAAAGGAAAATAATGATAAGGGTTATAACATTCAATTGAGATGACCTAAGTACCTGGGAACAAAGCCTTTGTTAGTAATAACAAATTTAGCTAGTTTCAATGGTTAAATTAAATCTGACCCTACAGTTTATCTTTATTGTGTCTCAGCAGAGCTGTGTAATGGCGCTTCAAGTTGCGAGGATGTGAAAAAGGAAACCAAAGGTTCTCTTCTGGCTCATGTGGGCCTTTCTTCATCTACATCAAGTATTGTAAGTGGTGGAAAATGGGGAATGAGAAAATCATGGAAGCGGAAAAAGCCACTTGGTGAGAATATCCTCAAAACTAACCGTTCTACCAAGAATGGGAGTCAAACATCTGTGATAAACAACGGCAACTCTGCACCTCATTCAAGTAATGGAGATTCAACTTCAAATATTGAGAATGCTCCAAATGAGGTTAGTTTCTCTTGACTATTCCACCAAATTAGTGTGCTTTAGAATATTTGTATCTATTGTTAATATACAATTTATTTTTACAGCCCAGAATATTGGTTAATGGAGAAGTTCATGATACAACTGATGTGGATAACACCAATAAAGAAAATGGGTCCTGTACTTTAAGACCTTTGCAAGAAGGAGATGAAGGAGAAACAACTGATGATAAAACTAGGCTTAACTTTATTGAAGAGGATTTTGAGGGTGTATCAGTTCTTTGTACAAGGTGTCTAGAATGTGAATGTGTGACAGAAAGAAAAGAAGCTTTCTATGAAATTGGAGTACCTATTGCATCTGATCAAGATCCTGAGAAAAGTAATTATCTTTGCCTCTTTGTTGGACCTAAATAAGTTCTGCAGATGGAATTCTTGTTCTAACTTTTGATTATATTGTGTGCCATGAAAGTCATAATTATTTGAATTTCTTTTAGGAGAAGATTCTGATCAAATATCAGTACTGTATAGATCATCTATAGTCACAGAAGAATTACTTCAAAGTGCAAATAAGTATTGGTGCGAACATTGCTTACGATACAACGAAGCAAGGAGGTCGGTGCGTTATGAATCACTACCGCCACTTCTTATCTTACATTTGAAGAGGTTCTCATCTACATTTGGGTTTGTATTAAATTTTTCTGTAGATCCCATACATCTCTTCACATAACTGTGTAACTTCCAGACTTCACACTGAAAAAATTAATATTTTCCTGCATATTTAAGCAACAATCAATAGCTTGTGTGTAGAAATTTCTTGATGACTGTACACACTTGACCTATTTGTAACCGTTTGTAACCCTTTAACAATGTCAGGGCTGAAATTATAAAGACCTGTGTCAGCAACTACATTGTCGATTTTTCTATCTTTGTGCATAGTTCCACCTTCTTGAAATTTTAACAGATTAATTTCTTCTTCTCTTAATTATTTCTATTTTTGTCTCACAGATCTATGGTTTGTATGTCAAAAGTGAATGACTACATGCCAACGCCACTTGTATTAGACTGTTTCTGTGTGGAATGCCTCGAAGCAACAGCACAAGAACAAGGCGTGAAACACCGCTACCAGCTTTATGGAGTTATCATGCACCTGGGTGCTACAATAGCATCAGGACACTATGTTGCATACGTTCGTGCTGCTGATCCTATTGCTGATTACCGCTCATGTGACAAAGAGAAAAGGAAAACTGCCAGCCTTATTGCTACAAACACCACCAAAGGACCAAGCCAACCTGATGGGGAAAAAGCCCGAGGTTTGCTCAGATTTTTCTCCAAAAGCAAGTCAAGTAACTCTGATAATGTGTCAACGAATCACCTAACAAATTCCCAATATAGAAACACATGTAGGAGTTTGGATTGTTGTGGGGTCCGTATGAGTAAAGCATATCAACCAGGGGATTCCAAAGTTAGTACTGCCAATGGGTGTGCAAATGATGATGATGCTGAGGAAGAAGGGCCAGAACCATCATGGTTGGAATGTGATGATGAAACTGTGAGGGTTCTCACCCCACAACAGCTAGAAGACATTTTAGCGCCTAAACAATCAAAAAATTCATCACTCACTCCCTATTTGCTATTTTATTCGCGTATTCCTTGACCAATCGGAGCCATGTGCCCTGATAGTAGAGTTCTGTTTTCATTAATTCATTCATTCATACTGCATTTATTGTTCAAGCAAACTACTGTCTGTAGTATATCCATTGTGTTGCCACAAGTTGAATAATTTGACTGTCTCACCTGCTTTTTATAGGATACATTATCTTTAGTGGATAATGGATATTTAAGATGGAGATTTTAGAGTTCAAATCAACTCAATATATTTTGTATTTCTAATTTTGCTTACTTAACTATCACTCATTCCCCAATTTCCTTTTCTTTCATTCTCTTTTTAGCCATGTTAATAATTTCATAGGCGGGAGTCAGTGCAGAAAACTTTGACTTTATTGTTGAGCATACCTGATGGGGACTGAAAATTTTAGGTATGCTCTACAGGCAGTCCTACATTTACTAGATGTATTACATTTAATTATTGAGTTATCATTCATTACAGGGTTGCTCAGTGTCAGCAGTATTGTCATCAATGTTTCTTCAATTTCAATTTTATTAATGTTGCTCACTATGGATTCTTTTTCGATATTATCCTTCCTTTTTGTCAAGGCCAATGCAGGCTTAGGATAGCGCACGGAACATTTTGTATCTATACTGTACCGGATGGGTGTTGGCGGATTTCTTTGTCTTGATTTCGGACATTGGCGCCTCATGGCCCCTATGAAGAGGGCAATCCGCCCACAAGTATGCATGCGGTAGTGTCAATACAAAATGTTCCGGGACCTGTGGTTGGGTCTCCCTTTGCTAGACCATCACCTTGTGTTGGTAATCTGCATTGTAAGTAGTCAAGTTGACAATTTCCAAAGAGATGAAAGGAAAAAAAAAAGCAAAGAGGGATGTGTATGTAGAAAAATGTATTCATGATTTTCAGAAACATTTGAATTGTGTAGCGTTATACCAAGCACATTTTAAAAGTCCCAGTGATTAGAAGCCATAACTATTTGAATGGAATTATTATATTTTGTTGAAAAGTGAAGTAGCTAGGCATCTATAGAAATTTTTTTTAATTATGCAAGAGATGTAACATGTTTATTTTCTAAAATTTATATGGAAATGTAATTACAATCGGTTAGTACCTTACGTTGTAGAAATAATAAGTTGACTTCTCAACTTGTAGTGTGAACAGATTTTTGAAACCTAATGGTTCGTCATGTTCTTCTGTATTCTTACTATGGTCATCCCTTTTCGGTCCATCATTGGTAATCTCTTTGCAAATTTAATGGTTCTGCTAGCTGTTCACTATGTCAGGAAGATGTTACTGTTTATTTTTAATCTCTTTTAAAGTTGACATTTATATCCATTTTATGTAATATGGCAATATTGTTCCTGACACTCTCTTCTGTACAATACTTGATCTACATAAAGTTAGTGAGTGATTAAAATGTTTTCTGTAATCATCATAGTCAATTGCAATGTGCGGGTCACATACCCTCTTTGAAGGAATGCAATTTATTGAAAAAGATGTTTCTGCGCATTATCATTCACTAGCTTGATGTAGGTTATATGTACGTGATTGTTGTGTTCATCATTTTCTGTTGTGGAACCAGAAAGATATTTTTTTAAATTTATCCATAGCAAAATTTGTGATAAGAGATGGGTTACGTTCACTTGAGGTGTAAGTAACAGCCTAAATTAAGAAGACTTCTGAGTTTTTTGAGATTGTTATTAAGGACTCATGTGGTGAGTTCATTTCTTTTCTACCAGTGTTTCTACCAAGGAAGCTCACTTCAATATTATTAGCCTGGTTGAATAATTGACTTGGTAGAAAGAGTGTTAATTCCCCTGTCAATAAGCCTTATATCTAAAGAATTATTAATTTTTAATATCTAATTCACAGCTCAGACCATATTTTTTCAATTAGCTTGAAAACTTAAATGAATTTAATACCAGTGAAGATGTGTTCTAATCAAAGCTGTACACACCATTGAAAGCAAATTCATGTTAATATTGTCTGTTTTACAGTTTTCATAAAATTATTTGATCACTTGAGCACTCCTTCCATAGTGTAGCTTACAATGTAGGGACCACTTTACGTATCTTAGCACCTTAAATATTTTGTTTTTTCGGAAAGGCTTTTATCAGTTCTGTGCTGTAGAACTATTTTCACATGCTCTGCTAGAGGTAGGAAGCTTCAGTCTGGTTAATGTTCCCTTAATGACAAGAATTTTTCATCCTGACCCCTGCACAATTTCATAATTGCCACTCCCCACTTAAATTAATTAAAAACAAAAATTACTTGTCAGCATTTTGTTTTCCTGGAACTTAACAGGTTTCTTTGTGAATCACTGCTACAGACCTCTAGCAATATGAGGCCTTCAGTTTGAATGTTACTGCAGTACCTTTCAATTCAAACATAGCTTTATGTGAAATTAAACTTTCAAATTTGACTGCTTAATCTTTCTTGTACTCTAAAACCATACCCTGACGTTTTACATATTCTATACATGAATATTCTTTAAGTACAGCTATTCATTAACTTATTACAAAGTGAGACCGTAATTTGGAGACCAAAGGAGTTAATTGTTATTGTGTAATTCTGGCAGTGTCACTGACTGTCAATGTAGTCTTGTGAACATAGGGTTTAGTCAGATGTGAAGAAGTTAAACCAATGTCGTCCGTAACTGCTATACCTTTAATCTAGAATTCTGGCTGTTGGTTCAGAACCATGGAGATGGGGCACATGAGAGAATGAGAACTCTTAAATCTAAGTGCCGTGTACTTTTCTCATATTACAAGCAACAAGCTGGACAAAATTGTAATATTTCTCTTGAGGTTTGAAAAAATATGTGCCCCTTTTAGTTCCTGTATTCATGTTTGTATCTCAAGATTTCTGGATTACCATGTACCTACTCTTTCCTAGTTTCCTCCCTTATGTGATAATGGAGGAAACATACTTTCTAATATGTTGTAAGAATGCATGCTGGAACAACATTTTTTAAAACATGGCTTTTAAAAGGTTGTCAGCAGAATTGAGCAATTGGAGACTTAAGTTGTGGTTGATGGAATTTTCAGCAATAAGTACCTAAGATTGTAAACCTAGTTCAATGGATTATTGAGTCTTTGTCAATGTTAAATCACTGTTTGACAGTGTTCTGGGGGTATTTCAACTAGCTTGCAATGATCTTAACTTTAGGATTAGGTTTAATTCCTCACACTTCTTGTGTCTGGTGATGTTTCTTGACATTCCTGTTTTGTTTTCTTTTGCTTCTATGTGGCTGTGTAGGAATTTCCATAACTCTTTCACTATTTGTTATGATTTTGCTTAAATAGAAAATCTTGTCACTGATAGAAACACATCATTATTAAGGAGTTGTCAAAATTTATCTCTTGTTGATGCTTCACCTGGCATTTAAACATTGTAAAAGATAATGTAAATTAAATCCCATGTGAACTTGTATATTTTCTTAACTGTTGTACATAATGTGATATGCGTAGCCAGATAAAACAAAATTGTGTTGTGGTTTTATGTTGTTGGCTCAGAATGAGTAAAACCTCGCCAGTGCATTTGAACTTCACACACATTCCATACTGTAGAACATACTGTTGACTACATATGATGGCACCGAAAGTTGTGTTCTGGGAAACATTTGAGGTGTACTCGTATCTTCATATCATGACACTTGCGTGGAATTATGAAGCTGGACTTGAATGTGACACTGTGACACTTTATTCTTAGCTATCTGTGGCTTATTTTTAGCGCAGGATGTAAAAATTGCGTGCATTTTAAACTCGCAAGAGTGCAAAATAATAATTGTGATCTAATTGAAAATAGTGTAAATGGGAATTTTTAGTTTCTTACTACCTGTTGTGCAGTGCTTATGCACAAAAATTTGTTTTCATAAAGCATTTTTGTTGTTCACTTTTGATGTACCTAAACTCCAACTGATGTTAAAGAAGAAATAAATTTGTTCTAACAACGATTTTTTTCTTTTTTAAAAATGTTTTCTTTATATTTCCGAGCATTCTGCATTGCTTTTTTTTCCCTTGCATGTGTTTTTTCCCCAATGAGTGAGTTTCATGTCAATCCGTCTCTTTGCGCGGATGTTTTTCACAGTGTCCCCACAATCGAAATCCACCTGATACTGACACCGTCCGGGCGATGCTGGAGAAGGAACTCATAGTTGTGACAGCTGGGCGCTGGGCGCTGGGGCTGCGCCAATGTGAGCGCCCGCAACACGTGGTAGACCAGCCCGCTTAGCAGCCGCTAGACACCGGAAGCGACAGAGCAGACAAATATGTTGCGCCTTTGGGGTCGTCCAGAAAGTACGTTCGTTTTTCATAGGTTCATTCGGCAATCTATGAGAGCTCGGCGCCTGCGAGACTCCGGGTGGGCCACCCCCACAGTACGCGCATGCAGGGCAGGCGAGATGTGGCCTACCTACCAGGCGTTAGGAGCACTTGTAAGGGCTGGACTTGGAAGGATAGTAACGGTAAATGGCGGACGTACTTTCTGGATGATCCTTTTATTAAGAAGCGTAGGGAGGGATGCAAGTTAATGAAAGACTATACATGGACTAAAGAAGTTTTATTTATTCCAAAACAAGACAACATGAAGTTTACACCAGACATCAAAGATCACACAGTGACCATAAAGTGCCACAAGAAAAATATGTCAGCAGGGATACTAATTATTCGGGGGCTGTCTCAAGTCCGCCTGACGGGCGGCGCGATGTTGCGTGGGTTGCCTCTGTAGAGGCGTGCTGCCAACTTCAAGGCGGAGGCTTGCCCGGGTCCTTATCCCCTCCTTAAAACCACCCCTGTGCTAATTCTCTCTCTCAGAAACTCTGATATAATCACATCAACTCTATTCTTTATAATTCTGCTCAACTCCTCCTTCCTCTTTCAAAGAACCTCTTATTTGGCATATTTCGTCTCGACCAAAACGGCCACTTTGTTATTAGGAGTACAAACAAAGCGCTCCGATTCATGACTATCGTTACTCTCTTTTCCACCATTATCTCTTTAAAACAATTTTGCCACAAGATAAAACACGTTATTCTTAGCTAAAGGGAACAATATGATTTACGATTCTCGGGATCGTTCCCAGGGAGACAAGTTGACTTCGAGTTGACGCCGGCAGTCGAAATGAAGTCGATTTTTGTACCAAATATGCATCTAAATGGACGTCTAATCGACGTCTACGTCTAAGACTTTTCACTTGGGACTCGACTGGGGGACCAAATAAAACACCTGGTTCGGTGGCTGACGCGTTTGCGCATCTCTTGTATCCTCAACCTCCCTTGCACACTGAAGAGAAGTTGATTCTTTTTTTTGGGGGGGGGGAGCAGCAGCTGCTACGGGGGCACGCCATTACACTAAAAATGGTGTGGGTGAGCGCATGCAGCGCAACGCAGTGCGCGTCTCTCTGTCTAATTAGGCCACTGTCGCTGAGCCTCTCCTGGGGAGTCAGTGCGCAAGGATCAAATTATTCCGAAAATTCCACTGCTTGTATTTTAGATTATTTTTTGAACGCATTAAAAAGTACACCTGCGCACTGCGCTCCCCTCAGGTACCAAGAGAAGTATCAACCCAACCCTCCCTCCTAACGGGGGCGGGGCGTCGCTCGGCCTGCCTCCAAGGTATTTCACATTTTTTTCGACATTCTCACGATAAGAACAAATTTTCAATGGGTTTAAAAAAACGTTTTTTGGGGCTCTGCTCCGTGAATCCGGCTATGTTTAGTTATCCTAACAATGCTCATTGCTCATGGATATGACTGCGTGTTCGCGTACTACTTGCCAGTCAACCTTGACATGGAGCATCACGCCCGAGCCTCACGCCCAAAATCATAATTACATTTTACTTCTTAAAAATTGGTTTTTAAAAGTTAGATAATGAAACGCGACCGCTGCTGAGAATACTTTATCACATCCAGATCTAGTGCGCGTCATCTAAACGAGAGCATATCTGTTCGACACGACAAAAAATGTAAAGGGAAATGTCAACGCATATATTGAGGCTGCCGCGGGATGTTGTCTCGAGTCTAACGCGCCCTGCCCCCCGTGCTTTCCTACGCGGAGCCTAGCCGGCCTCCCGCGGGAGGATCTTAGCTGTTTCCGGAGCCGGTGCCGGAGTGCTTGTTGCCGGAGTTGGAGGCCGCCCCGCCGGAGGCGCCGCCGCCCTCGCTGGAGATCATCTCGGACGAGCCGGAGCTGGACAGGGTGGTGTTGGAGCCGCATGGGTCCAGCGACGACTGCACGCTCATGGAACGCCCCTGTCCAGATCGCCGAACTCGATTTGGGGATAGCTTCCCGGGGTCGACACTTGTGGGGTCTGCCTGCAACAGCCGCCCAGTCGTTAACCCAGAGAGACTCCCGGCCCGACCCGCTCTACAACGCGGCCGATTGCTCGACGCGGATGCAAACTCAATTCCAGGGCCTAACGAGCCGTGCCAAGGCAGGCCGAGGCAGGCCGAGGCAGGCCCTTGGCGCTGCCTCCCGCTCACGCGCTCCAGTCCTGCGTCCCGGTCCCGCACTGGGAAACCTCTATTCTGGGCGCGGCGCCGCCCCCGCCCCCTCCGGGCCCTCCGGGGCCTGCCTTGGAGGCCGAGGTCTGGCCCGGCCTTGAGGAGGCCGGCGGCAACGGTCGGGACGAGGTCGGGGGCTGGGGCTCGTCCCCGGTCTCGTACCCGGCCTCGTCCCCGGCGGCGGTCCGCACCTGGTAGGCGAGCGCGTTCATGATGATGGACGCCGACACCAGGTTGAGCGGGTGCACCTCGCGCATCAGCACGTTGGCGGGGATCTTGTGGAACTGGATGAACTCGATGAAGTTCCCGATCACTTCCTTGAGCGAGATGTGCGAGTTGGAGTCGCAGTACTTCTTGCCCCACATGAGCGCGGCCTGCACCCACGGACCAACGGTTTGGTTAAGATCCCGACACGATGTTTCCGTCTGGCGCGACTGCTGGATGCCACCGCCCCCCCCCCCCCAACCGAAAGTGTACTCTCACCTGAAACTTGGTGAACTCGTCGGCTCTGAGGTCTTCCCTGGACAAGATGAGGCGCACGACGTGTTGCGGCAGGAGCGTGAACGACCCCAGGTTGAGCACCTCGTTGCCGTGCTCGTCCACAAACTCGAGCACCTGACGGACGGTCAGAGCTCAATCAAATGAGTCTCTAGTAAGGAAGCAAAAAGGCCCACATGAAAGGGAAAGGGCGCATACGGATTTACCTTCTGGACCAGGTTCTTGGTGCACTTGTACTGGATGTAGCGCTCCGCCGAGGCGAGCAGCGCGCACACCGTGTCCACGTTGATGCAGCACTGCACGAAGCCCGCGCACGCCCTGCGCAGCTCGTCGAGGCCGTAGAAGTCGGCCGCGTTCATCACACCTGCAAGTCAGGGTGCAAAGGAATAATGGAAACGGTCGCGACCGGACCGCTCACAAAATTGCGCCCATTTTTTAAATAAAAAGAGGTGGTCGTACTTCTAGCCCTGAATAACTCGAATCGAGTTCCCGCTTGAACGTATTAATTGTTTTGGACGCTGTAGTAAAGTCACATCGCCAAAGAAAACTGTCACTGTTACGGGGGATGCATTTATCATGGCCCCCTAAACCCCCTCTGTAAAAAAACCAAGAGTCATAAAGAAATGCGGCGATAGAAAGAAGCCCACTCATAAAATCGCGTCGCTCTGCTCCAGCAGTCTTCACTCTCTGTAGGCGCAGGGGCGAGGTAGGCCACATCTCGTATCGCGGGACACGGAGGTGCTGCGGGACTGCCTATCCAGCGTTCCGCGGGCGCTTAGCGCTCCTCTTTCATTTTCTTTGGAGATCGTTGGAGCCTGACTCGGATTTTCTGTTTCTTTTCGAGACCGTTAGACTTTGACTATCAGCTACATTCTTCTGCTTACCCAGTAGAGTGCGCGGCTGCAGGGTGACGCAGCCAGTGTGGATGTACTCGATGAGCTGCCGGAACACGTCCGGCTCGAACTCCTCCACGTGGACCGTCTGGTGCTGACTGGAGGCCGGCTGCGCGGGGAAAGAGTGTTAGGCACAGAAGGTTCCGTCGTTTTTTTCAGGACTAGTATGAACTACTGTGAACCCTTGCTTACGCACACGTTTTTTCAGCAACCAAATGGATAGAGTAGTGCGTCTAGACAACATAGTCAGAAATCGACCAAGTTTTTCGAGTTTTACAGCAGAAGAAAAAAAAATGCCATGTATTCAATACGCCACAACAGAGCGATAGTTCGTGGGAGCGGCATAGAAGAAGCAGTCGAATAAGAAGGAGTAGGAGGAGGAAAAGAAGAAGGAGAAGAAAGGGAGTAGGTTGAGAAATAGACAAGATATAGCCATCCACCCAGACAGAAATCGGATATCGAGCCGACATCTTTTCGGTGTCGATCGATGTCATCGTTGAATCGATGTCGGCTCGGTCACAGATTTCTGGCTGGGCATCGCCTTGCACCAGCGTGAAGACAACGAACGGTCTAGAGAGTTAAACCTCTTTTGCATTTGCCTACCAACAACGCAGCACAACATCGCCAACAACTACAAGTACAAGAAGGTTACAGAGTCGCGTGGAGTCCAACACACAGGTGAGTACAAAAGAAGATTGCATCTTACTCCAACTTTCACCACATCACAAAGTTCCGCACGCACCTCGCCTATGCTCCGCCACTACTGTGTGCTACTTCCAAGAGGACAACAAAGCGTCCAAATCTAGAAAGCTTTGGCGCGCATTTCAAAAATACATTTTTGCGCACTTTTAAAAAAAGTTTTTAAAAAACTAGCCAGGCTTTTGCAACTTATTATTTACAGGCGATTTGGTAAAGAAGGATACAGCCCTTTGTAGTTTCGAGGCTGTCGGATTCTTTGCAATAAATGTTACACACCATGTTGCGAATGGTTCCTCACACTGTTCCCTCTACTCTGAAAAGCTGCATATGTCCCCTCCCCCACCCCCTCAGCTGCAAGCGTGTCTAGTACAAGTGGACTGAAACTCAGTGGTGCTTTAATATTACCGGTATACGAGTTTTCAGTGTTATTCATATCACGACACATTAAGAGGTGCCTCTCACAACAACAAACAACAACATAACAGACAAACAGAGGGTCTGCGACGTGCCAGGCAAGCTCTGCGCAGAGCGGTGTGTGCAGGGCCGAGGCCGGCCCGCCAGGCTCGTGGGTGCCACAAGATGTCCTAACTAGTAAGAGAACAATTAAGGGAACGAGACGTGACACCGAGGTTTACCTCTTGGATTGGCGCCAACTGCTGGGTATACCCGCGCTACAAACATGACAAGGGGTCTCAGTTGTTTTCAGCCAAGTGTGCCGAACCAAAAGGGCATAGGCTCAGGACTGTCAATGCAATTAATGACAGCACTGTAATCCTCTTCACCTCCACCAAGTTCACCGAGAGCGAGTATAGTGATACCTGGTACATTTAAATAACGAGAAAAATTGAAAAAATCTATTGAGAAATTATTGAAGAGTTTCCATCGCCAAAACTCGCACCGGGATCGCAAGGTGCAGGAGAAGGATAAAGGCCGTTTAATCTGCTCAACAGCCCAAACATGTTTATGAACGCTTGGTATTGGTATATGGTAGGGCTTGGACTGACCTGCTGAGCGGCGTTCTGCAGGTTGAGCAGCGGCTCAGAGCTGCGCTTGAGGAAGAGGCGCAGTTTGTTCTCCTTGGGCGCGCTGTCCTTCTTGCGCTGAGGGCTGGGCGCCTGGTAGAGCATCTTGTGGAACACCCTGCAATAGAGGACAGCGCTGTGCGAACCAAACCCCAACTCGGATCTGACGACTAATGACATGAGGTTGGAAGCCCTGGAAAGTTTCCGGAAATTTTCCGGGAAAATAAGGACAATTTCCCAAACCCCGGGAATTTTCCGTTTTTTTTTCTCTCGAAAATTTTCGGAAAGTTTTAGACAGTTTTTGAAATTTCCAACCCTACACTGACAGCACTCGAGCTTTCATAGTCGTACGGTCCCGTCAGAAACATCCGCGACCGCCACTTCATTTCATCAAGAAAGCCAAGGGTGGCCGACGGCGGCGGCCACCCTTCTCTCTCGCACCCGTTCCGCCCCGAACTCACTTGCTCCTGGCGGCGAGGACGGCCTTCACGGCGCAGACCGGCTCCCTGGACTCGCCGACCATGAAGGTGACGTCGCACAGCTCGGGCATGGACGCGAGGAACTTCATGTCCTCGGCGAGGCCGCTCTTGTTCTCGAAGATGTTGAGGTCGGGCTCGTCGCTGAGCGCCGCGGCGCCCTCGCCGCCCAGGCCCGACACGCCCGCGCCGTCGGCCAGCCCTGCGCCCAGGCTCGCCCCCAGCGTGGCCCCGAGGGCCGCCGAGGTGCCCGGGCCGAGGCCGGAGGGTCCCGCCGCCTCCGGCATCACGACGCGCTCCACGGCCAGCTGCAGGGGGCCGAGAAGCTCCGTTATTCACTAGGCGGCGACTCGGGACCGGCCACGCTCTATCGCCCCCCGACCCCGAGTCGAGGCGGAGGAGCACCGTCAACAGCCCGCCGAGGGGTGGGTCTGTCTGTGTTGGTCACCAAACACTCCGCGGAGATGCCTTTAAATAGTCCAGCTACAGCCCGCTGATCGATATGCCCCCTCCCTCTCTTCCAGCCAGCCCCACGACGCCATCCAGACCATCACTACCCCCCCCTCCACCCCCCTCAAGTCACCCCTTATATGGCGCGGCACCGTCCCGTCCCACCCGCCATTTTCCATCCATCCATCCATCGACGCGACGTCGCCTCCCCTTAGTCGAGAGCCATAGGCTGAGGACGCGCTGTGTAGAGCCTCACGCCAGCAGGCCTGTCGACAACAGGTGACCTACTCCAGCTCCAGGCCGCACGGGGGCCCACCCATCATGGACCATTCCACCCCAGCGACCCTACCCCACGAACGCGCCCTACATTTCCACCCCCAACACGCTTCGCGTCAGATCTGGATCGAGCACGAACAGCCTCAGCCGTGGATTCGGGATTACCCGATTACCTTAGACGGGATGTAGATATCGCGCCTTTCCCTTATTTATACGCACTGTGAATTGCCTATCAATTGGGCATTTGCTTGATGATGTAGGGGGGGGGGGGGCTGTATGACCCACCCCGGATAGAGCAGGGCGATCATGGGTGGGTCATACCCCCACCCTCTCCCCTCCAGGATAAGCGCTTGCCTGAATACAGCATACCGATGAAACGCTTTACTTTCAGACTCGCGTGAATCATCCCAAATGCAGCAGATTAAAACACATTCAAAACAAATACGTTTTATTTTTACTTTTGGATGATGCACCCTTTGAATTTATAAAATTCCGGATTTTCAAATTCCCGCGGACTGGGCAAAAATTATGACGCTCCAGTCATTCACTATCGGCCAGCGCGATAATGCAGGTGTCACGACGCATCACGGGATCGAGAGCCGGGCTGAGATGCAACAGTAGTGCCCTGGGGACGGCGCGGGTCAGGCAGGCAGACTTAGGGATCGGCCAAAAATTACGTCCGTTTTTCTCAGATTTATTTGACAGCTTACGGATTCGGCGCCTGTGGGACTCGGGGTAGGCCGGCCCGCAGTACACGCGTGCACTGCAGGCAAGATATTGCCTACCCATCAGGCGCTGAGACCTTGCATAGCCTGAAATTGTTAACTTGGCAAGTTCGTAACGGCGAATGACGTACTTTTTGGACGAACCCCCAGAGGCCGATATCAAAATCGGCGCGATATCGAATCAACATCGAAACGATATCAAAAAATCATTTTTTGGACTTTGACATTGGTTTCAATACCACCATTCCTCAGTGCTGGGCAGCCGATCCTTCACGACACGCAATGCAAGACCCTAGGCTAGAACGAGTCGCGCTGCGCCTAGGCCGTCAGAACCTGTTGCTGGACGGGCAAGGCTGTCTTTGCTGGTGCAGCAGGCGCCAGCAGGCCCACGGAGAGGCGGACGGCCGGCCCTGCGCGTCTGTCCCGGGCGCCGTCCACACGCTACCCTGCCCCATCAGCCCCTACGGCGCCGCGGTGCTTACCTGCAGGCGCTGGACCCCAGCAGGAGCGCAGGAGGACGCCTCGTTGCGACGATGGCGGCACGGACAACCGCTTGTGGACGCTGGCTGTGGGCTGCTCGGCACCCTCGCTGAGCTGCTCCGCGCTCTGGGCTCCCGGGCCGCGCGCGCGGGCAGATAGGGCCAGGACCGCGCAGATATGCCCACTGCCACACGCAGCTCGCAGCGGGGGCCGGGCCGGGCGCGCCTCGCACAGGGGGTGGGGCCCGCGGGCAGGCCGCGAGTGGGGTGTCTTGCTGGACAAGTGCGCAGGCTCGGCCGAGCGGCCCGCCGGGGCCCCGGGGCGGGCAGGGGGCCCAGCCCAGCTCGATACGCACGCACCCCCTCCCCCTCCCTTCCAGAACGCCCACCCCAAAGCGAGAAGGGGAAGGCGTGTTTAGAAACTTATTTCCACAAATAAGTGCTATAAGTAACTTATTTCATCGGTGATAACCCCCAATCTCTTTTCTTGTATAATCTTGGACTGTTTGATGGTCGATTTGATAGGATTGTTGAGAACCAATTACCAGCTTTTTCAATGAAAAAAATTTAGAAATGTAGCTTCAATGGTTTTCAGGTCATCCAATCAACAGAACAACAGCGTTAACAATATCTGAAAACTGTATTGACAAATTTTGTTGTTTACAATCAGTCATAAAAGGCATTTTTTCACATGATTCCTTTTGACAGAATGCACCCCACAGTCTTTGAGATTTCTTGAAAACATTAATTTTAATGAAAAAATAAAAGATAATGCAATGCTGACATTCCATAATATTGAAGAATCGGTACCTTCACTAGACTCATTACAAAAAGGGTGTGAAGAGTATGTTGTAGGAGGGTACCCCCAAGCACAATGACAGAATAATTATTTGCTCATCAATATTTTCAACACAGACTTGCCCTCCACATTCTATTTCTGGTTTGTGTAAACAGTATTCAACCAAACAAATTATCTAACACTATCAACAGTTGCACAGTAATAGAGTCACTTGATGAACATCATGGATATTAATATGCACAACACTGATTAGTTAATCAGTCAAAGATTGAAGAGCTTCAACAACATTGCCTCGGTGTTCCCTTAGCTTTCTTTCAGCTAATGAGCGTGATATTTCCATTTCTCTAACCTGCAATACAGTAACACAAAATGTAAATAATTTCACACGCAAAAATAATAAGTTGGTTCAACATTTTTTTTTTTTAAATCTTTGTTATATTCTTACTATTAATTCAACATCGTCTTTTTTGATTGACACTTTGGACAGCTCGACTTCACGTTCCCGTTTTGCTGCTAAATCTCTTTCTCTCTGGGCACCAATTATTGATAATGCCTGTAACAAAGTATTGATGGTAAGACCTTACGCCAAAAAGTGACAATAACAGTTATGAAGACAGTTATCACTGCAATAAGATCAAATCCTAGTTACAATTGCATTTTCTAGTGGAGCTCAAAAATTATTACTGTAATTTCTGTGAAGATACATGATTGTATTAAGACATATAAATCAGAAATGGTAGTAATATGAAATGGGAAAAACTACCTTCTGACAACAAAAAACAATGGATTGTATGAACGTAATACAACCGGTATATTGGGCCATGTGAGAATCAGATTCAGATGTTAGGTTATGCAGAAGTTGTCAAGTATACATTCAATAAAGTTCCAGAATCTCAGGTTTCGGCACAGATATGAGAAATGATTAAAAAGCAAAGAAAACGCATTGATAACTAAAACTCATTTGATTTTTATATAGCCGAACTAAAAATAATGCAGAATGTAGGAAGCCGTACCCCTTCAAGGAATTCACTATGTTTAATTTCCTTCTCTTCCATAAAGTCCGTGACTTTTTCCAAATCTGAGGCCCCGGAGTCATGTTTGGCGGATCTTTTCTGTGATTTGTCGGAATCTTGTTGTAATTCATCCGAATCTCCATTAACTTCTTCTTCAACTCTGTTCGTTGCGGAGGCCATGATTATGAATGATTCTCTAACCAAACCAACACCATTAACCAAAGGAAAATCGGACCGAGGAACGTGGAACGGAAGGAAAATGGAACAGCCGAAGGAACGGGAACGGAATATCGTGTAAATAACGAATTTGGTTGTTGTTGTTTTTAGGAAAGCAGCCGACTACTCCAACTCCACTCCAACAGTTAACGGATGAATTATTGGACTGTTAAAAGTGTAACGTTTGAATTTTAAAAGCTAACGTTATGTCACTATTCTTTCGTTCAATACTGGTCAGGAGCCGTTCAGTTTTACGACCGTCCTTTCCTAAAAAGTCTCCATGCGTTTTAAGAAGGTTAGGTGTAGTTGAGATTTCGGCGCTGTGCCGACCCTCTACTACCTCAGCTAGCGTTTCTTGTGCTCGCCCACACCCCAAGGTTGTGGAGCAGGATGTTCAGTATGATCCCGAACCCACTCGTGAGTTAACATCCCCAACCAATCCAGGAGTTAAATACGAAGCCAAGGAGTCGCAGTATTATCACCAGTTCATGGAGAATTCTCCACTCTACAAAGACACAATTTTTGCTAGAAAAGATTTAGAATCGCTTATCATCTCGGACATTGAAAATGTTGATCATCTCTTGCAAATTGAGGACTGGAATCATGCATCCACAAGTGAGATTGTGGATGCTTTCCGCACTCTCACCTCATATGCCCGTGCAAATGGACTCGTTATAAGTGACCCACAGTTTGATAACATTTGCTCTGCTATATCAGGTTCAGTAGTCTGTGAATCCTTTTACTGTGTGCTTACCTATCAATGTTATAAATCATAACTTTCAAAATCACATTTTCAGGTAGATTTAAGGAGTTTGCTGATGATGAAATGATAGAAATTGGAAAATTACACACTCTTTGGTTATTTCCTCCCACCTCTACTGAAAAGAATTATGAACTTTTACGTCAAAGTCTTGATGACTTCTACTGTCTGCGCTATACAAATGAATGGTTCCGTACAAGAAATTACACTAAAATCTTACAAGCAGCTGATACACTTTATTGGCAAAGATGGGGAGCGAAAAGTCATTTCTTACGGTTAATGATTTATCATTTGGGAACAAAGACCCAAGAGTAAGTATAATATAATCGGTCATGTTTACAGAGCTTCAAAATAAAGTATGTTATTAAATTAATTTAATTAATTATTTTTTCAGACATCATCATATGATTCAGATAATGTTTTACCTGGGACTGATGAAGCAAATTCCAGACACTTTCAAGATGTATGATTTAGAAAAAAGAATTTTCTCATTCAGAAATCAGTGTTCTCTCCCAGAATTAGCAATTGTTGCAAATTCATTATTTAGAACAAAATCAAGATTGCAATATTATCCACTAATGCAAGAATTTCTTGTAAAAAGTTTGAAAAGTTTTTCTTTATTGGATGACTTTTTGCTGACTACCATTAGCAAGGTATTTTATGACACTTAAATAAGAACAAGTAACTAATTTGTTTGTCTAAACAATGAATTAAAAATTTCAGGGCTGCAATGAGGCACCTCAAGAACTTAAACCCCTTGTTGCTTTATTGCAAAAGAGACTCACTTCCAACTTCAATAATTTTGGGATGGTGGCAATTATTCATGCTATGTGGATATTTGTGAAGTGTGGTGTGATTGAGGAAGATTTTGCTCAGTTGGTGTATGATAAATCACTAAGCAACTTCAGTAATCTCAGAGTAAGTCAATATAGAAAATATTATCAGAATATGCACATTTTGTTGGGTTTTAATTCTATCTACTTTGACTTTCAGACTAAAGAGTTAACAAGGATTATGATTATGTTTACTGAACTTGAATCATCAGAAAGGGATTTAAAAAATCTTGGTGAAAAACTTCTAGCAGAGCTTGAAATTTCACAGAAACAAGAATGGTTTCAAAAGAAGGAGTTCATTACTGGTGGAGTTCTTCATCGCCTTCTCCTATGTGGTATCTGTCCACATGACCGTGTGAATGAGTATTTAAATTTTGTGAACCAACGTAGTGTATCTAGTCATTCAAAGATTGTAGGTATGTTCTACACCATATTTTTTTGAAAGAAAAGACTTTGATTTTTTATGTGTCATAACCACTTTATCATTGTTTTTCTTATCTTTAATGATTACTATTACGTTTTCCTTAATTTTTTATATTTTTCTGTGCTTGGAGTATAGGTGACAAATCAACAGAAGCACTAGGGATTGATGTGCATTTAGAGGTCTTTTATCCAAACTACACAGGAACTAGACTGAAACCTGATCTTCGAGAAGCAATCTATAAAGTGAGTTGATCTGTGAGTCAATCAACATGTTGAATGCACAGGTTTCAAACATTATCTTTGGAAATGGTTTTTGTATTATACTTGATGCAAGCTAGTATTTAACAAAATCTGCCTCTTTGTTTTAAAATTAGTATCGATTTGAGAACTGCTCTGATAAATTTGTTAAGTCCTGTGGAACAAAAGGTAAACGATCCAGCTTCAACTTGAAAAGAGTACAATCGATTGAAGACAGCCTTCTCAAAGTGCTAGACGGGAGAAAAGATTATATGCTCGTGAAACAGTTGGTACCATCTTTCGGCTATATAGGTACGTTTGGCATTTGTTGGACAATACTGGCAGTTCTTTCTGTACAATATTTTGCAGCAAAATTCAAATTTTTTATTTTCTCTTAATGCCAGCTTTTAGCTCACGGAACCACAGAGCTAAGGCATTAAATAAATTAATAATAAAAATTTATTTTCCAGATGTTGTGCTTCGAATTTCCCAAGAGGGCTTATTTCTTCCTATTCCTGAAGCAATGAAGTTATCTGAACGCTGGGAGATTACGAAAATACCTAGGCAACATATTGAAGATGGTGACAGATTTCTTGCTTTGACATTTATTGGTCAGTCTTATGAGTACACCAGCAAAAAAATAAGTTGCTTTCAGAGGGAGAAGAAAATGATTTTGCAAAGCCTTGGGTATAGGCATGAAGATGTAAATATTCATTTTTTAATAAATGCCATACCTATGGAGATTTTTCAGCATTTTTATCAGAAATTATTTTTTGATTATAACTTTCTTTTACAGGTGCCCATAGATAATTGGATCAGAGCAACTTCACCTCAACAGCAAACCAATCTTAAGACTATTATATCAAATGCTCTGAAAAAATAAATTAAGAACAGATTCATAAGTTAAAAATATTACTTGAGTTCAGTGATCTATCAACAAGTAGAGGTATTTAGCCAAATATGAAAAACTGTGACAACATCCTTTATTTTTCTTAACACAAGGAGTACATCTAGTATACTGGACCATCTTCTAAATTGTCATCTTCTTCATCAAGGTACTCTTCACCATTATCAAAGTAATTATTGATGTAATCAGTCCCATCATCCATTTCTTCATCAACATCTTCTTCCTCCACCTCTTCAGCATCAGAATCTGCATCCTTATTCTCTTTGTTTTCATCTTTTGCTCCTTCAGTCTCTTTTCCTTCAGTTTCACCTTCTGCATCACTTCCTTCTTCCTCACGTTTTTCAAGTTCCTCTAGTCTGTAAATAATTATGGAAACCAGTTTGTAAGAGCAGTTTAAAACACAAATTTTAGATGAGAGATCAGAAATGTACCTATTTGTAATGTCTTCAGTTTTCTTAGGAATTTTAGCTCTTCTTGTAGAGCCCTTAAGCTTTCTTTTAATTTTCTGAGGCTTTACATTGTCTCTTAATTCAGTGGGAAAGTGACTCCAATCACGCACTATATCTGCAACTGTCTTCAAAGATAGTGTGGCATTTTGGTAGCGGTCTGAGTATCTTTGAATGTTGTCAGACTTTACAACAACATTTTGGATAAAAGAAGGGGAGTCATGGAAGTAGCCGACAAAGTCCCTCTTCAGAGCCAAGAGATATTCACCTGCAACACAAAAATCATGGAAAAAAGCCACTAATTTCTCCATAGCTAGTAAATCTGACTCAATTACATAATCAATGTATCAAAACGAAATTTGTAATTACAATAGCTAGCTCAAAACTCACCCTCAACTCCTAATTCCAAGGGAACAGGTCTACTTTCCAGAGGAGGGAACAAAGGTGGCGGCTCAAGTACAGATTCAACAGGTGTTTCACTACTTCCTGGAGCTATTCCCATACGCTCACTGATTTCTCTGTTGAATGAGGGGCCACCCCCACGTCCTCTTCCCCTCCCCGCCATTCTTATTGAACTACTTTTTCCTTCTTAGTCTCAGCAACTTGTTCCTCCTCTTTTTCCCGATTTTCAACGAATAGATCCTAAAATTGAAAATGTTGATGTAGAAATTCCTAACATTTTAAAGGGTACAATTATGTTGAGGTATTCTGATACCTTATCGTAAATCACTTTAATTATCAACGAACAGCTAGGACAGGTTGCAATTTCTTCCCCAGCCTCTAATTCCTCCTAAAATGAAATTCGATTTACGTCAAAAAAATCAGCCTCGCGTAAAAGGATAACAAAAACGTATCTCTTGAGAATGGAAAAGCAGCATGTGCACAAGGTTAGGTTATAAACTTAACTTTGATATTTGGAAACGGTCACCACAAGGACAAGGGTAGTAATAAGTTTCTTCGTCTTCGTCGTATTCAAAATCTTCGATTTCAACTTCGTCGTGGAAAACAGCCATTTTACAGAAGCATCGCAAGATGTAAAATCCCCTTGACAAGACGCAGCAAATGTAAACAGACAGAAACCGACTGCTTTGCTCGGAATCGGCAGCGTACCTGCTGATAACTGGGCCTCGTCTATTTGCAGGGATGGTTTTTGAATTTAGAGGCGCGCGCGTTGTCATGTGTCGGGTGCATGAAGTTAGAGCTCTCTTGAGTGGAAACTTTACATTTGGTGTTAGAGTGGCCAAGATCAAATAACAGTTTTGATGGCTCATCAATAATCGGGCGAGGGTTCGACCACTCATATTTTTGGTGTACATGGAATATCTGGAATATTTGTGGAATATCTGGACCACACCTCGTGTTCGGGTGTCGTCGAGGATTTAATTGAGGTAAGTTTGACCATTGTCTATGTGTCGCTAACAATCACAACAACATGAATTTCATTGGGTTTTGAGGTATTGAGACATTCACAAATTCAGTAACAACCATTTATTTACATTTTGAGATACATTCATATCTACAATTTGGAACATTTTTCTGTAATTTAATTGAAACCTATATGAAAAAGGCACCGTCAGTCACAAAGAAAGACCATTTTTGAACAATCTATATTAATACTCATATTCAGTTAATCGTTAGTATCAGCAGATAAAGCACACCTGCAAGGCTGACATAGGATTTATTGTATTATTTTTATTTTGCCATTTGTGCTCCTGTGAACAGGAAGAATGATTCCCTCCAATATCACATCGTAAAATGTTGACATGAATGTTCTGAGGAACAATTAATTATGCTTTTAAGATTGGGATAAATTTGACTTAACACATTATTAGTGCCGTATAGTGACAGTTCATGTTGAATTTTAAAAAATAGCTGCACCTGCAATATTTTCCTTTTATCAGGTCGTAACAGATGACTTCATGCTTACAAACTGCAACAAACTTTTCACCTAACTTTCATGCGTTGATGTAGTTGAACATGTATTTCAGAAAAATTATGTATCTGGCACTGGCAGCTCTGAAGTAAAAACAACCAACTTCAAATTATCATAATCGTTCAATTTTAGAATTCAGATTTTATCCTGTCTTGAAGCATGCTTAGAAGTACACTAGCTTTATTTAACAAAGGCAATTGAAAAGTGACATATAGTCTGGCCAAGGATCTAATTCATTTACACATAATGTGCAATATCGGTACTTATAATGCTTCAACAATTTCTCATCTTTTCCTTTTCTTTTGGGAAAGGGAAGGCCAAAACGCCGACTCCTTCTGAGATTAACTCAGTTCTCAGTTATAGGTATTAGAAAGGCAATTATATATATGAGTTTCATTCTGTAGGCTGCCAAAACCTACCATAGCCCATCAATGGAGTATAAGTTGCTTACTAATCTAAAGGTAAGGAAAGCATCACAGTTTTTATAAATTATTTGGAAAATGAAGTTGGTCGGTAACAGAGAAAGAGGGAATGTTACTGTCATGGTGCCAAAAACTTATTATACACTGCAGTCTAGAAGTTATCTCTACACAATCATATTTACAACAGAGCTCATATTCTCCACTTACTTTTAATGATGATGAAGAATTACAGGTATCTACTACAGTATGCCTAGCTACAGACAGGAGTAGGTTTATGGAGTCCCTTAATGCAATGCAGACGACATTGGAAAGCTGTTGGTCCCGGAATCCCTCACATAGAAACCAGCTTTAACTGCAGAAATGCCGAAGTTGAATGAATCTCGTATACCAACGAGTCCTTTTAAAATACTATTGTAGACTTCTTTTATCTTCTCCAAAATTTCATTCTTAGATGTTACAAGCCCATCATTATTAACAGACCTACAAAAAACGTGATAAACTTAGAAAGTCACACACAATATACCCATATTTGGTTGAGCGATAGAAGTTGTTTTTGTGTTTCTAATATTCTCTGACATTGATACAGCTCTCCTAAAGGCTCCAGCATGGGCAGATCAATAGGGAAACAGATAAACAGCAGCGCCTTACCACACAAAAAACTGGGAAAACCCTGTCCATTGTGCTTCAAAAATTGCTCCTCTGGGCATATAGTCATGCATTGGCTGCATTTTCGAATTGCTGTCCCTATCAAGGATTCTTTAGGCAAATCGAGAGCCAGTCCATCAACCTCGTACCTGGGACATCGTCTGCTAAAGAAGTGTAAGTACAAAAGAAAGCGAAAGGGCCGGGCCAGGGAGACCGCGTGACCGCTTCCGAACTACGCGACATGGTCCCTCTTCCAGCACTGCGACCGCACCCCGTCACCAAACCACCCCCGGGCCCCTGCCCAAGGAGGTAAAAAATAATAATGATAAAATAAATCCAACTAAAGTCTTGTCGGCCTAGACCACACTGCTTTTTTGGAAGATTGTTGGACTTCCCTGCATTTGTCCTCCCCTTCATCCTTGGCCTTAATAGACACATGAACGATAATAATATTAAAGGAATCACAATATGACCCATTTGAAAATGATAGTTTTAACACGTTCAGTGGCTGCAATGCTTTCTGGGGGTTGGTGAAAACAGCAAAGCGTGACCAGATTGTGATCACGCCACACCGAATATTTTAAATTTGGTTTTACGTCAAAGCAAGGAAAAGAGAGTAGAGCAAACATGATAG